TGTGCTTTGTTTTGTTTTTAGAAAGGAAGTAACAGCTGTTGATTTCACATGGCATCCAAAAATCTCCAGCAGAGAGGCAAACTGACAGTGCAGCAATGGCAGTGTGGCGCTGGGAGGTTTCCCAAGCAGTGGAGCCCAAAGAGCATGCAAAGCGTAGCACAGATGAAGGGGCACAGGCATTCTTACAGCAGTGTACCATCCCAAATCCCACCCTTCTCAGCACCCAGGGGAGGAAGCAGCCTGCTGGTGGTGTTAGCCTGAGGACATCTGTACACTCGCACCTGTGCAACGGACAGAAGGTGAATTAAGCCATAAATCCCCGAAAACGCCCTCCTGATTTGTGGCACATCTCTTTCACACTGTCACTCTAGTGAAATGCATCATTTCTTATCATAATACTGATTTCAGTGCTTCTGCAGAACCAGCAAATGGCTCTGTTTCCCAATTCATTTCATCTGAGCAAATCTTTAAATATTTGCCCTCCAGAAATAAGAACAACACTTCTTCACCTAGAAGGAGGACGTTCCTAGCCATGAGGCCACTCAAGGAGAAAAAAAATTGAGCTTCCTTCAGGTGCTCACGCGCCTGCTGTGTCTGAGAGCACAGCTCAGCCTGCACACCAAGGTGGGGAAACACTTTGTCCCCCCCACTGCATTTTGTTGCCCACACATCAGAGCTGCTCAGCAGAGAGCCCTGGCACAGAGATCCATCCACACAACAGCCAGTGTGGCATAGAGATTGGAGCCCCAGCAGAGCAGGCACAGTGAGCACAGCTCCGCTCATTTATCCTGCTTTTCAGTGTAAATGAACCTGACATCTCTGCTACCAGAGCACGACAGCTTCCAAGAGCCAAGTGAGCCTGGAGAGCTGCTCGCTGTTTGTGACTCTGTTGAAATATATACTGCAAACTTGCCTTAAAAAGATCAAGGTACTGATAAATGGTTATAAACCCTAAAAAAAATTATGGAAAAGTTCCTCATAAGAGCAAACAGAAGTCAGACTGATAGTCTAAACAAAAGCTCCTCCTGATGCCACCCAAGGACGCCACTGAAATCCTGTCTGGTAAACAAACCGAAACCTTGCATGCCCAAATCACACCACGCCGATGAATGAGAAAAAAGACCTATCCATCCTTCCTCTGCTTGCTGAGCTTCATAATGTGAGGCTCACAATGAAAGATCAAGTGCTAAAGGAGGAAGGGCACGGTGCTGCCGGACCTGCAGAGCGCAGCGCTCCCCATTCACAGCCACACCTCCCAGGGCCACTGCTGCCCACGGTGCTCCATCTCCTTGCTAGCTCACCACCAAGACCACGCAATCCCTGTGCTGGCTGATCCCCCAGCAATGCTTGCAAGCAGGGATTTGGGGCTTTTGATGCCACAGGTAGCACCCTTCCCTGTTTTATTTCACCTCCTCCCACCACAGGAGCCTCTTCAGCTGCCCAGCAGCTCCTGCAGCTCCAGCAGGCCATGCCTGGTGCCGAGAGAGGGGCTGGAACACCACAATGCTGGTACAAGTCCGACAGGTCTCAAAATGGCTGATGAAGCACTCTGTGCTGCCTGCTTCTTCGGCAGCCAGCGCAATGGCAGTCACCCTGTGAGCTACACCTTATCATACCAGCGTTCTTTTCCGTCTCCAGAATAATCACGATGAGGCTGATAACGCACTTCCCATCTTCTCCTCTTCCTCTAAAATTCTTTCTAGCTAAAAATAAAGCAGCTCATTAAGCACAGCACCTGACTTTGAACGCTGAGCTTCCTGCTCCTGCCCCACACTTCACCAGGGCCGGAGCACTCAGCCCCCAGACACCAGCCAGGAGCTGCCCCATTCTCTGCTCAGCACTCACTGCACCTCTACACCCACACGGTTTGCTGTATTGCTGCACCAACATATTTCAGTAGAACACACCTGGGCTCTCAAACAAGTTCAGCAAAGTGCTACGGTCCTGTCAGCAAGCAGCTGTATTGTACACTTTTTCTTGAGAAAGCAGAGGACGAGACCAAAGGAAGCACGATCAGACTGCTTGCAACCAACCCTGACAAGTAAACTCAGAGCAACTCATGGCTACAGCAGGTTTCACGCCTCAGTTCTGATAACAGTAAACTTTTATTGTGATTTAACTGCGTGCACAGGCATGGTCTTCAGCTAGCTGCAGCAGATGTGTTTAGATGCAGCTCACACCCTCAGGACACAGTAATAGCATGCCCGCAGCTCCTGCTGTCACTGATAGACCTGTCCAACAGCTCCTGCAGCTCACAGTAGTCAGTAGACAAATTAAAAATGAGGTCTGCCATTAAAAAGGAAGAAACGTCCTCAAGGTCTCATCAGAGCAGTGAGTACCCAAGAAGTTGTCTTTGCTCCCTGCCCTCAGGGCAAGGAAAAGCTCCACATGCAGCAGAGCACAGAAAAGGCACTTAGGACGTAAAAAGCCATCAACAAGCATCAGAACAAATCCATCCCTGGTATCATAGTACCTGGGCTAACTTAGAAAATGTGACACTGTTTAGTGGAAGGTCTGCAGATTAACACGAGGGAAGTTTAACAGCTGCAGATAATATCTGTTTATAATCCTTGTTCTTAGCATGTTTACGTTCACGTAGTTCAAGTGGCTGATTTAGGCTCTTTCCAGCCATGCTGACGCAGGAAGTGACGTAAAACAGGGCAATGATTAAGTAAGAAGATGGGGATGTGCTCTTCTTTATTAAAACAAAAGTAAAATCCAGTGCATCTTTTGCCATAGCATCTTTAACAGCCTGCCAGAAGCACGAGTTCCTGCTCTGAGAAAGCCACAGACACCACACTGGTCAGTAAGGGGCACAAGGTAGATGGGCATCCTTCCTCCCTGCTGGCATGGGACACCTGCCCCAGGTGGTAAATGCCAATATGTGTTTTAAATTAGAGCAAACCAGCCAGCAGAAAAAAAATCCCTACGAATATACCTCAGACGCTGCATCACATGGAGATTTCACTCTCCTTTGCTACAGATGCGAGATAAACATCAGGAGCAGCAAGCAGCCTCCTGCACCCACACAGCTCCAGCTCCAGAGCAGACAGTAACTAACCTGGTGTTTGTAAACACAAATGCATCCATGAAATCCAAGGGTTACACAGGGATTCAACAGCTACAAAGAGGAATCATGCAGCTACAGTAAAAATAGTATAGACCAGGGCAACTCCCTGTGGGTGGTTCCCAGCCTAAGACTGGAGGAAAACTTCACATCTTCTTTCATGTTAACAATGCAGAGAAACTACAACTACTGTTCCTCCCAGAGAGCAAAATACTGTCAGCGCCCCTAAAAAGGGCAGAACTGTTCCAGAACGGGCTGCAGAGGGATAAAGCCTTACGGGGCTAAGGAGAGCGGACAAGGCTGCTCCCTGACCAGGGAGGTGATGCGAGGCAGAAAAAGCTGGGAAGTGAGACAAACCTGCCATGAGACCAGCGCTCGTCCAGCCAGGAGGTGAAGCAGCATCACTACACGGCTACAGAAAGGAACGAGAGTAGAGCACAAGATGGGGAAAGACAAAGATGAGAACGTGCAGGGGGAGGCACGCCACGAGCGCAGGGGACAGCATAGGGGCTGCACCTTCCTTCAGAGCACACAGCTGTGGGTACGGGACAACTCACAGAAAGCCAGCGGGGCCAGAAGGGGCAGAAAGCGTAACGGAGGAAGGTGCGGGCTCTGTGCTGGGCTACTGAGGGGCAGCCGGGGGTCGTAAGGGCACCCGCAGGAACACATCAGGGTGATCCATCCCTCAGGGGATCGACGGGCGCTCGGAGGACGCCGCAGGGAGGACTCGGGGAGGCCGCGGTGAGAGCGGGGAGGGGCGGCCGCCGGGGTCCGTGAGGGCCGGGCTGCGGAGGTCCTCGGAGCCGTGACGGGCGGCGGGGCGGCCGAGGCGGCGTCCGGGTCCTCGGGGCGGCGCGGGGCGGTCGGCGGGTCCCCGAGGGGCGGGCCGGGGGCACGCGGCTAAGGGAGGGGGGAGGACCGGGAGTAACGGGTGGGGGGGCGGCGGCGCTGAGGAGACGCGGAGGCGGCGCCGGCCACAGCGCTGCGGGAGCCCGAGGCCCTGCCCGCGGCCCCCGCCCGCCGCACGCACCTTCTGGCGGATCTGCCCGGACGTGGAGACTTTGCGGATGAGTTTCTGCGGCGAGCCCGGCTCCTGCTCCGGCTCGCTGTCCGACGACTCGTCCGCCGCGGCGCTGGCGGCGGCGGCGACCGCCCCGGCCTGGGGCTGCATGGCACCCGCCGCCGCCATGCTGCACCGTGCGGGGCGGCGCGGCCGCAGCCCACCCCCCCCACCGCCCGCCTCCCTCCTCCTGCAGCGCCCCCTGGCGGAGATGAGGGGAAGCGCTGAGGAGGCGCCCCCAGCAGGGCTCCTCTGCCTCTCCCTGTGGTGCAGTTTTGAGAGAGCGCGGGAAGAGCAGGTGCTCCGCGGCCGGGAGTCACCGCAAAATTAGTAATGCGAACAGCAGAGCGTTCGTTAGAAAGGCCTTTGCCTTACTCTAACCCTCCCCTCAGAACCAAAGCTGCGCTCAGCTAACTGTGCTGCTAGGTACACCTGAGAACGGCTGCAGCGATGCTTCAGCAGCTGAGGGCACGAGGCTGGGCACGAAGCAAACAGATCTCCTCCTGTGGTCTCAGCCCAGGCGAGACAGCTGTGACAAGCAGTGCCAGGTGGAGCCGTGGGCTCAGCTGCCCTCAGATGCCTTCAGCATCTTAAACAAGCCCCGTTTGCAGAGCATCATTCAGCAAAGCAGGTTCAGCATTGCTGATTCAACAGCAACTTGCTTCCTGCAGGCTTTCAGAGGTGTCCTGTGCCCTCTGGGAGGAAATGGGCATCTCCAAAATGTGTTTTTTCCTCTGTGAAGTGACCACTGCTGTTAGGATCAAAGTGGAAAGCTCTTGAATTCGTTTTTTGTTGCTAGGTTCAGAAACGTATGTTTATAATAATAAATGTAGGCCCAGCCTTCAGACTTCCCAGGAGAATTTTAATCCAGAAACAGTGAAAAACAGAGCAAAAATGGGAAAAGGGTAACAGCAGTCCTTTTACATGCAAAACGTAACTAGCTGACGCAACTCATTTCAACCAGAGCCTGTGTGAGACCCAGAAAAGGACCTCGTGCATTTGCATGGATAACGAGAACATGCAGATCAACAAGGGAGATCAATGTTTGCAGACTATGTTCTCATTTCTTAGAGTATAAGCTGATCTCTGGCAGAGCAATGGGGATTCTAAGGGCAGTTTGCCCCATGGTTTCCTCCTTGATTTCATTGCACATTCTTTTGAAGCACTGCCACATAAAGAAAACTAGATTAGAGAACTAGACTAGCATTTCTCCGGTTAGCATTGCACATAGGGAGCTATGTTAAGGAATTCATGCACAGAGCACATTTTTCTGTTCCTTAATAACGTGGCTGTTAAGTATAGAGCTAGAAAGCTAATGCAACATCTCAGCAATACAACTGCTGTGAAAGAGGACTTGCAAGACATTTAGTGGTAGAGAGGGAGGATGTAAGCCATACACATGGTCAGTGCAAGCACTGAAGATATTAACTAGATGAGTGGATAAAGCAGAAATGCAAAAGCAAACAAAAGGAAACAAAACCAATTTTATATAGCCCACTGAGGATCTTTAAGTCAAAGGCAGCAAGCCAGCCATTCAAACTAGGACTCAGTTCACTAGTGAAAAAGACGCAGAGAAAAGACACAGAGACCCCAGCTGAGCACAGGCAGGCTGCACAAGCCCTCATGTAAGCTCTCATCAATGGTAAAAGTAACCAACCACCTGAACAGGTAGCTCTGAAGCAGATGGTGCAGCCTTCCTGGCCTCCTCTGGTAGGTACAGTAAGCAGCAGGTATGGAGTTTGCTATGTTCTTATGAAGTGGAAACTTTTAATACGTAAGAGAAATTTATGATTTTACGTCTACTGATCGCTGACAGCACATGCACCAAGAACCACAGTTTACTCGAAACCTAGCTCCTAAATTAATCATTGGTGCCAGGCTACATAGCTTCTCCATCAGCTCGTGCTTTTCATCACTCATCAGTTGAGGAAGCATTCTTGTTTTCTTCTTCATCACCCGTGTCTTTTAGCTGTTGACGAGCAAACTCCTCAAATACCATCTCTGCATCACTGAAAGGGAAGAAGCACAGGTCTTTCTAAATGGGGTCAGCCACTTTTTTATACCAGCAGACTGAAAAGCAACAAATTGGAAGAAGAGACGCCTGGAGCAATCTCTGGTGATATTTCTTTTGTCTTCAAAGGGATTTGTATCGCATCCCCCCCGACACTGTCCTCATTGGTGCTGTTCTAGGTAGCATGAAAAGGAATTGACTGAACAAGTCAGGACACAAACTGAGGAGGTTTTCATCTCCAAAGAATCACGCTCTTTCCAGCTAAATATCTACATATCAGCTAGCTGAATAGTTTGCAGCCTGAAAGGGTCTTTGTATTGAGATCAAATGCGAAACCTTTCATCCTTCTGCACTTAAAATACAGGCATGTGGTTGAACTCATTGAGTTCCTGAAACTACAGAGCTACAGAGCATCAGCTGACCATCTCTTTCTCTCCAACTGCTAGGCAAAATATGATCTCAAACTACTTTCACATGGTCAGTCCTTACTGCTCAACTGATAGTGGCAATTTGTCAAGCCGCAGCAGCTTACTCACTTTTTTAAGTTCATGCTCTGTGAACGCTGTGGATTTTCCTCCTTTTCTGAGGAGCTTTCAAAGAGGCAATGTGCAGCAGCAGCTAGAATGTGAAATACTGTTCAAAGAAACTTACCCATCCTTTCCTGCAGTCATCAGCATGCAGTAAGGGAGGAAAAGAGAGACACCAACAGTTAGAACAGTGGATGCTAAGAATAGCAAAACGTTATAAAGCATCAGGATTTGCAGCAATACAAGAATTCCGACAGTCTGAACACGTGTGCATGCACCTGCCGAAGCAAAACCTGATCTCTCTCAAATATGATTTAAGTAGTCAGCTGATGAGGAGGTGTTCTCATTCAGTACAAACAGAGGTACTGAAATCAGAACAAAAAAAGGCAGCCTCTCAGCAGACAGAGGCAATACTCCTGATTTCATCCCTGCCTAAATATAAACCTTTGGTGCTTGTGTTCCTTTGATAGGATCTTTGCTGACTACGCAGCAGTGACAGCAGCATTGCAGCTTGCTAGCAGGATTCCTTGGAAGGTGCATTCAGCACAGCCTAAAGTAAGCAAAACAGATTATACTGCAGGGAAAAGGTGGGAAAATGGATTGTTTTGCTCTTACATTCACTTTATCAGGTAACCATTGCACCACTCGCTTATTTCTCATGAATTTAAGTGAGAAAGCACAGTGCTGTAAAGCCAGCGTTCTACAGGAGTCATCAGGGATTGGTAATGTTTCAGTGACTGGATGACCTGGGGAATTCCCACCCACAACAAACACTGAAATCAAGGGCAACAAGCTGTGGTTAGCACTGCTGGAAAAGTCAGTTTTAAACTGTGCCAAGTGGGGCACTGTAGCCAGAATGCCTCAAACGATGGGTCACGTAGAGGCTCCCCTGGTGTATGCCCATGGTGTGAAAGGACAGCTTCCTCTGCTCACAAGGGCCAGGATGAAATCTGGACAGCCTCAGGGCAATCGTACTTGACTGAAATGGATTTAAAATGAAATGTTTAGAAGTTGCAAACTTCCTTTAAATTTTCCAACACCAAAGCATCATTTTATTTTCCTCCAATTTTAATTCTTTAAATAGTCTGTTCTCTTTCCCCTCTCCAAAGTACACTCATTACTATGGGAACAGTGACATCAGAGATGTGGGCAAAGCGAGCGATCTTCACCAATGTGGTTTGAAGCTGATTCTACAGAATGGCTTGAGGGGGGGAGGAGGGAAGAGGAATTTTTGGGCTTAGGCATCTATTTTGTTGTCTGATACTTACCGAATCAACACACAGATATTGTAACAGCATGGCAATGCTTGCATAGCTTTGATGTAAGATACGTGCATCTTTCAATGCGTTTTATCTTCAGGCTGCTACATTACATCCCACTGTAGGGCTGTAATGCCTACATCAGCACCCTAACAGGAGTCAGGCCCTCCCCTCGTTGCTACCTTGCTGTCCTGTGGCTTATTGAGCATTATAACACTGAAAGAGTCACAGGAACCTAAACATAAGGAAAAAGCCAACCTATTTCCAACTGGCATCCCTGTAATTGTTTTGAGGGTTAGGATGGGAGGGGGTTGTGTTTGAGGACAGATGAGGCTCCAGAACATCACCATGCTCTCTGCAGAGGGTTTTCTATAAGCTCTTATTATGCAGCCACAGAAATGACTCCATGTAATTAAAGTTGTGACATATGGTAATTTTCATTATAAGCTTGCTTTTAACTTCTTTTAACTTCATGATGGAAAAAAAAAAAAAAAAGAAGCTGTGTAACATTCTAAGGCATGCAAACCCTTTTGAAAATTCACTAATTTCTGCAAGTTACAATATCAATACGGGGTGAGCATAGGGTTAAAGGGACACAATATTTATGGGCTTCTTGAAAGCAATCCTTTCGTGCAAGCTTAACGAGGGAGCAGATAAATGACCATTTGTTGAATACTAGCCAAAATAAAGGTCAGTGTCCAAGACATAGGCCCACGAAACGTAAAACATCAGGACAAGAGCAGGAAAACCCCAGAGCAAAGAACTCACACTGAGCACAGCCTTGTGAAAATCCCAGCAGGAGCTTCTGGGCGGGCTGCTGACTGGGAAAGGCCTTGGAAGCAACAAGAGACGCAGCCCAGTTGGATTCTGTCTTTAAAAGAAACTGCTCTCTATCCATTTTTGTCAATGGGTGGAAAAGACCGACTGCCAGCCGATGGGACAGGAGCTGCCTTGCCTAAAAATAACCACCTGGGAACCACATGGATCCAAAAACAGTTGCAAAACCAGCACACATGAAATGCTGGCCAGTGAGAAGTCCAAGACAAGGACGCCATAAATAGACATGGAAAAAGAAAGGCAGCAAGCAGTTCCATTTCTGTCTCTTCCAGGTGCGAAAAAGCGAGCAAACAGCAGTGGCCATGCTATCTGACAGAGCTGCTTTTTACTGAGGGATGAGTGCTCATACAGACAGATAAAAAAAGGTCAAATAACATGCTGTGAAAGCACAGAGCAGCTAATCCACTGTCCACATTTGGCCCCAAAATTGAGTCATGTTCTCCAGAAGTTTACCTTATATAACACTGGGGTTCTCCACACTCAAAGAATGGCCTGGGTTGCAAAGGAGCACAGTGCTCATCTGCTTCCAACCCCCTGCTGTGTGCAGGTCAACAACCAGCAGCCCAGGCTGCCCAGAGCCACATCCAGCCTGGCCTTGAATGCCTGCAGGGATGGGGCATCCACAGCCTCCTTGGGCAACCTGTTCCAGTGCCTCACCACCCTCTGGCTGAAAAACTTCCTCCTCATATCCAACCTAAACCTCCCCTGTCTCAGTTTAAAACCATTCCCCCTTGTCCTATCACTGTCCACCCTCATAAACAGTCAGCTCTGCATGATTAAATACACTGATGCTACATGTTTCATTTAATTTTGCTGTAAGTCACTTTAGCTAGAGAAGGGAAAAGATATTACCCCTCTGCAGGGAATAAGTCATTGTATGTGACATTTTTAATCCACTTTAGCTTCAACTCTCTAAACTGCTTTGACTTTTCCTTTCTCCCAGCTGCATCTTAAGATGAAGTGACAACTCAATGGAGAAGGGAGGTACAACAGACAAACTGGTTGCTACTGACTCATCAGTAAAAACAAAGGGGAATGGGTAAAGGAGTGATCTCAAAATTCCCTGTGCACGTACCTTTTTCTACACTCATTGCAGAGGCTGCTAAACAAGCCAACAAATTAAAATTGTACCTTATGGGACCCTTAGCACTCTAAATACTGTTTGTTGAAGCTCCATCTCTGCAATTAAGACTTGATTTGCTTGATTACAAATTCAATGTTATTTCACTTCAGTTTATGAACCGAAGCGGTAGAAATAAACACTGCACCTCCAAAGTCTGAACGGTCCTTCCAGCAGTGAGATAAAGGCAGAGAACGTGGAAAGCCAGAAAGAATTTCAGTTTACCAGCTTCATTTGGAAGCTGTTTTATTCCCTGTAATGAGCTCAGACACTGCGCTCCAGCACAGTTGCCAGATCAGCTATGCAGGCTCCTGAGGGATTTTCTTCCGTGTTAGTTTCCTTGTTCAAATAGAAAGCACTTTTTTCCTCCCTCCCTTCTTGTAGGCCTTTCCCATGGGATAGCTCTTGAAACTTCACTTTTTTCCTCCCCTAAAATCAAAAGAAACCTACAGTTTCCACCTGCACATAAAGCACGACGCGTAGCTGCCTCCTGACAGCAAGCTCCCAGATGACTTCAATGTCGCAAACAGTATGTGGGCTGCATCTTTGGGGAAAGGATGTGTTGGGGGAAGTGATCTGAGAAATACTGCAGTTCTCTATTTCCCTTGTAAAGTCTTCTGCCCACATTCTTTTGAGTGTGCTACGCAACAGAGCGTATCAGCCATCCTTTCAAATGATCTTAAAACTGAGAACCGACTGACTTCCATTCTTCTTCATCCTAGCCTACAAATGCTTCTGCCAAAATTATCAGCCCAAAGCACAGGAAATAAAAAGGGAGTTGTGGCATTCACACCAAACACAGTGTCACATCCAAAAAAAAAAACTCACACCATTCTGCAAATATACACAGAATTCATTACCGTTCCCTGAGCCTTTGGATGGTCCTCATTTGAGGTTGTTAAGCTTCTCTCTGGATCCACAAAAGCTCAGTTTTGCAGCCCTGGGGTCCAGCAGCACGTCTGCCCTGTGAGGCTCACTGCAGACACCAGATGGCCCTCACCAACCACCTTTCCTAGGCAGCCATTTAAGAGGCAGGGGGATTCCTGCAGGAAAGTCTAGGGGAAATACTTCAGGATGTGCAAGCGGAACAGAAGTGAAGACCCTTGGCAAAGCTGCTCTCCTACAGAGAGTCACAATTTGAGACTATGATCAAGTGTGCAACAATGTCAGCAGGTTGCTAGCAGAGCTGTGCAGGCATGCAGCATGGAAGGGAAACCCACCGCATGGGCACAGCATTTGCCTCACAGCAACTTCTCCAAGGCGGTCCACACTTATCAGTCCTACAGACCAACCCTGAGCATCCAATTTCCCATCTCACAGCCTGCAACCTGCATGCATCCGAGGAGTGCCCGTGCTCCTTCCTGGTGATGCTGCTGCCTTCCATGTGGCCACAGCAGAAAGGCAGTGAGGAGGGGGACAACCGTTGTGGTTCATCCTGAAGGCACTTCCTGGACTCACTGTGCTGCTGACGGCAATGCAACATGCACCAAAGACTTCTCATATGAGCACATGCTCACAGCAGAGGTTTTCTCGGGGGGAAAATGAGTTTTCATTTGTGCATGAGTGCAATGAAGGAGTTAAGAAGCCCTCCTTAAGCCACTCGGGTATGTCCATTGCTAGAAAACACTGATTCCTAACCAGAGACCTGAGGATCACCAGTTTTTCCTCTCACTGCTCGTGTCCAAGTCCCCCAACAATATAAAATGCTATGATTCAGTTGGAAAGGGGGGATAACTCCTGCCATAAACTCCTTTCATAGACTCCTCCATAATCTAGTGGTCATGCTCTGAGATACTGCAACTTGAGGTAAGTTTTAGCCCAAAGAAAAAAATAAAGAAATCACAGTGCAGAAGCAGCCATGGGTTTCTGCTTGAAGCCCACATGACTGCATCCAAAGACAAAGAGCAGGGCAGGCTGACTCATCTAGAAAAATCCCCACGCTGGAAGGCACGCATAATGTTTTGTGTTCATTAGCTGCTCCAGATGCTGTATAGGAAATCCTGATTCAGTGCACCTTGCAGTTTCTGTGTGATCACCACTAGGAAACAGATACAGTCAGGGACTATAGAGTGGGAAGAGAAAACAAGCTTTAGACAATCTGAAGTTTTTCCATCCAATCATCAGACTTTATATACCCAGGGAAAGCTAGTTCTTTACACTGGCCTATGATTTATACAAGTAACCAAGACAGCAAGCTGGTTAACCTTCAGGATGTTTCTCACACTTCTATTTTCTGACCCAATTCTGAAGAGACCACTCCTCTCATATTCCTGTACACAAAAATGAACGTCAAGACCACACCACAAACACCATGGGCAATGTTACAGGTACACAATAGGGATTTTGTAAAATCACGAATGGCTTTGTCACCTCTTAACTTTGCTTAAAAGCTTCTTTTTTTTTTTGGTACATTTTAGGCGTTTTCTGTGACCTTATTTGCTTCATTGCAATCTGGCTAGAAATTGTTGACAGCTGCATTCAGGAGCCAGTAGTGACGAAATTTAACTGTGCTCCCTCAAGTCCCTGTGCTTTCAGTTGTGATTCTACAGATGAAAGAAAGGAAACATGACCCAGCTCTGCTTTTTCTTCCATCTCAGCATCCCTTCTCCCTGTTCCCTTGTGCCTTGAGGTTCACACAGATGCACACGGTAGTCCCCTACAGGCTAAATCACTGCAAGCCTTGCAGTAGTAATAATTCACGTGGGACAAATACAACAACAGCAATGAAAAAAGAAGGCAAAAATGAGGTATAACTGACCTGCTGGGTTCTTTTCCTCAGGTTTGGGGTGCATGAGACGAAATGGCAGCTCTGTGCTCACCTCACTATGGGCAAGAGAGAGAATGCATCAGATCCACAGCCCCCAGCCGTGCCTGGTTCCATGCTCCTCTCACCTCAGGCCAGCCTCGGCCCAGAATTCCAGCTTCGCCTATTCCTTCAGCTTTTTTCTAATGAGCAACCATGGCTACATGGTCTAAAACGAAGATGGCACTTACCTGGAGGTGATGTCTCCCAGCAGGCTACAGAAAGAAACAGAATAAAACACACTTATGTTTAGTGCCTTCCTGTTTGGATGTTCCAGCAGTAACTTTTTAGTTGTGGACCATCAAAATCACCTTCCTACAGACCATAACATCATAACACACTTGTTTTTAATTTCCTTTTTTTTTTTTTTTTTTTTTTTTTTTTTTTTTTTTTAGTTTTTGAACTTCTGACCAAGTGTTAGCATGGCTCCTTTGCTGAGGGCCCGAGTACAAGGGCAATCCAGAGGGACCACAGAAAGCAGTGGTCGTTTTATTACTCTTTATGCATATCACTAGCTTATATTCATTTTTCTATTAGGAAGAGGGATGAATGAATAAATGCAAATGTAAATAGTGACTATCAGCAGCAATTATGCTTGCCCTCGTTTGCACTGTATGCTGGGAACCATCTCATGCTGATACCACCAGCATCTCGCAGGAAGTTGGCTCAGTACAGAACCTCAGTCTTTGTGATTCTCAGAACGATGTCTGGGAGAACAACACCAACACAAAAATTCAAGCAAAGTTTCACTTAAGCTCTCACAAAATCAAAATTATAACTTTGAAATGAAATTGCAACGTAAACCACAGGTTTATACAACCACCTCTGCTCATATGGTCAAATTCTTATTGCAACAATGGGAGGTATAACACCTCAGGCTCAAGAAAACTTGTTTGGAGAGGCTAATGCACAATTTTGATGAAGTTTATGCAGGTGTTCTACAATATGTGCCCTTTTTTTTAGGGTGGACTGTCCCACCTTCTCCGGAATATCAGTGAAATACACACTTCACTCTCTTAATTCTAAGCAGATGCAGCAAGAAGTCTCTTACCCCGAAACAGTGAGCTTCACTCTGACCTTGTAGGAAACCAGAATCCCCATCACTGTCTTGTCTATTCCATCCTTAACACTATCAGAGAAAACAAAGTGGTGTTTTAGGTGGTACAGCAACAACTTATGGCAGGAAAAAAGCAACTAAATGAACACCCCATTGTCCTAAAACAGCCTCAAGGACAGCTAATACCTCTTTCCATCCCTGTTACCATTTAGCCTGAATGACTACGACAGGGTAAGATGTGCAGTGCAGATGCACCCATCAAGACAGATACAACCATCTGATAGGTCAGATCTTGTTCTCTTCTTTACACCCTCCAACAGTTGAGACCCTTTAAAGCTCTGCTCACATAGTGCTAGAAGCCAAGTTGGTATCCTCATCCTTTAGCTTGCCATCCAGGGCTATTTCCCGGGTCTGCCGGTTGTTTGCCAGCAAGGGCAAAACTGTCAGTGTTGTTGTCAGGCTGCTGTTTGGCTGCACCTTTTCCCTGGAAACAAGAAGCAGGTGAGAGTGGGAAAGCAATACACTCTGATTTGCCTCACAGACCCAACTAGGATAACCTCAGAACGGATCTCAAAGCCATCCACAAGGAGTACGATTTATCTGTCCAGACTTAAAAGTCTACAACGTGGACATGTGTGCCTGGACCAGTCAGAAAAATGTCCTTTGTAATCAGCAGAGGGAAACAAGCATTTGCAGAAAATGATCTGTTTCACATTAAGGCAGGTATCCAAAAGTTGGTCCAACCATGCCACAGACCTCTGTACCTGGATGAAATGAATCCCAGTTCAGAAGATCAGTACTCAAAGGATGACCTGCTCCTAAACAGCAGAGCAAAACCCAGAAAAGCATCAAGTGTCTGGGTGGGATCCAGTCCTCCTCACAAAGCAGAGCCCACTGGCAAATGCACTGCATGGCGTAAGAGCAGGAGGTTCTCTGCACCACCACACTATGGAGCCAAGGGTTTGGAGAGGGTTCTGATCTCATCAGAGAAAGTGTTATGAAAAAGATTGACCCCAAACTAGAGCATCCAGCGCTCCCAGGCACACAGGAGCAGCTTTTAGAAAAGCAGTGCAGATCCTTTCAAAGATTTCAAGCAGTGGGGAGCAATGCACCCTTGTTAAGTGTTTCTTGTAAGTAATTACACTTCAAACAAAGCAGCTTTTCTGTAGCCTCCCCTGTTCTCTGAAAAAAGGAGCAAGGTACCTACTGGTACAAAAAGGGGAGACCAGCTGCACTGAGAGCATGGCTGGCATCAAGGCCAGGAGTGCTGTAACAGCAAGCAACTGCCATGCTGCATCCAGGAATACCTCCCTTAACAGAGGAGAGTCATTAAGAGGCGTGAAGGTGCGTAGCAAGGATGGATAAGCAGAGTGTTCACTCACGGTGCTTCCTCAGCAGCTACCACTTTCGTGTAGAAGTCACTGGAGTACAGAACCACGTTGGCAACCTGCTCCACTGAAGTGAGAAAGGGAAAGAGGGACTATCAGTTGTGCACAGGCATCAGAAACAACACAGCTGCTCCACAGTCTCAGGAGTGGAAAATGTGAGGATGACAGCAGGAAAACCCAAATATTTAGAGCCTGAAGGGAGCACCAGGTCAGGCAGCCTGATCACAGACTTTGCCACCTTGTGTTGTTAGTCTCTGTCTTCCCTGAAACACAAATCCAGCTTTGATTTGGAGGTGACAGAAAGCGTCCATAGCCCATGGTATCCCTGGGGAGCCTGCTCTTCTATTACAAAGATCTCCTTCTCTAAACATGCTTGCTTTCACCTCTAATGCACAAGAGGTGCTAGTTACATCATCATCAAGCAGACTGGATACCAAACTGCAGCCAAGCTCCTCTGACAGCATTCTCCAAACAAACACCAGAAAGCGTATGGTAATTCTGATTCAATTTCAACAGTGATATACTGTTGAAATAAGGTCTTTTTAAGCTAGACTGAAGAATGTCAGGTTAAAAAATATTGGGAGTAACTAGATACTGCATGCAAGATATGCACCAAATTGGCTTTCTCTGCAGTGGAGTTTTATGAAACCTTCAGCAACTTTGTTCTTTCCCTGCTCTCTCTGCTTTCTCATCCTTTGTCTCAGTCTGCCTTCCACAGGCCCAAGCAGTACAGTGCTTGTGGGATGAAAGCATGCAGTGCTACAAATAAAACACAGGCAGTACTGAACCTCAGGAGGAATTACACCATCGCTGGCAGAGTGGCTGTTTCTCACCCTGCAGGGCATTTCTGACAGAGTGAAGCCCACCACCTGGGCACATTCCCTGGTAGCTGAGCATTATGCTGACAGAAACCCTTTGCACCCTGCCCAAGAGGCAGATTTCCCCCAGATCTGCCTTGCCTGCCACAATGCCAGCCCTTTCCTATGTAGACACGACATACTGGGGCTTGAAATTAAGCCAGGCAAGTAACCATGAGTCAGGAAAAAAGGCTTGAAGCAGCAAACAAACATCAACAGACAGGGAGGAGGGAGAAATTCCTGATGCACTCCATACTGCCTGCTTAGGCAGTGCACAAGCACTAAATTCTGGCTCTTTCAGCCCTCCCACCATGGTGTTCTTGTCCTACGAGAATCCAAGCAGTGGTAAAAAAAACATACCCTGGACTTTGATCTTCTTCACTGTTTTCTCTGTGCTGTTGGTGACCATGACAGTGACTGGAATGGGCTCACCATGGTAGTACACCTAGGGGAAAACCGATGCTCAAAAACCCAGTCAAAAGGCTTCTCCCAGGCCATAAACCATTCCAGTCCCAACAGAGGCCAGATAAAGCAAGGTGGCCCCTCCCCATGATCAATCCTGCCTCCGATGCCCTCTTGGCCTCAAATGACTCTGATAACAGTGTCCCACCCTCCTCTAGCAGAAGCTATTGCCAAAAACACCTTAGAAGTCATAGAATCATAGAATCACCAAGGTTGGAAAAGACCTAAAAGATCACCCAGTCCAACCGTTCACCTATTCCCAATAGCTCCTACTAAACCATGTCCCTCAACACAACATCCAGCCTTTAAGAGTGCAGGACAAGTCTGGATCAGCTGAGACAGTTTGGTAACACACAAAACAGCTGTTCGGGTAACAGGATGCTTATTGTTATTGAAGTACAATGATGTCCCAGGGGCAAACTCCTCACCTCTTTACTGAGGCAAGCTTTCAGATGCAATGGCTTGTTGGACATGAAGAACTGCCACGTGGTCTCTGCACAAGGTTGGGGTCCTGGTTCTTCTGGAGCAAACTGTACTTTACGGATCAACAGCCGTGCGGAGTTCCTGGGAAGCAGCAGAAGATACCAGGATGGTACCTTGTGTTTGGCTGAGGCAGGAGTTTTGTGCTCACACATGCTTAATTAAACTTAAGAAGCCCACTGACAAGTGGAACAAAGGTGAATGAGCAACCACGCTAATTTTAATTCCTCCCTTCTTTATAAGGGCACAGTTGAAGGCATACAGAAATACGTGCGCTGTTACCTCTTGTGAATTCTCTCTTCCAAATTCTCTGTTGAGAAAGCTTTCACCTCGAAGTCCACCCCACAGCTCTGCCAGAGAGAGAGGGCAGCTGTGAAACAAGCCACACCTGCAGACGTTCAAGCATCTTTCTGTATCCTAGAAACTGGCAGATTCCTGCCAACTGCAAATCCTTCTGGCCTATGACCACCGTAACAGAGATTCCCACCACCCAGTGTCTCAGCATCCACCTGTTCCATGCTGCAGGGCTTAGCTCCCAGCCTCTGACAGATGACACTCCTTCTAAAATGATACGAGAGCAGAGTTGTAGAGGTCACAGCACGCTGCAGGAGGCACCACCAGCAGGCCTGCAAAGTTCTCCAGTCCACCTTGGGTTTCTGAAACAGCTTCGTAATGCCAATACCTGACTCACAGTCAAGCTCCCCTCTTCCCAGTGTCTAAGGACTGGGAGAGATGAGGCCAAGCAGACCTTTGCTTTAACAGGTTTATATTGCTATGCCTGGCTTTAGACCTAGCCTAGCTGTTCAGAGAAGCATCCTGTGAAGTACAGGAGGACTACTTTAAACAATGCCAAACCTAGCAGAACATCTCACTTTGGTGATATATCCTCCAGAGTTTGTTTGTTTTTTTATATGCATATACAAAACAGACCTTCTCTGCATTTGTTTTAACTCAGAAGCAGGTCTAACAGCTGTTAGTTACACCCATCAGTGAGATTTCAGGCACTCAGCCTCCCCTCTCTCACGTGATTGATAGCTAACACAAGCTTGCTCGGATCACTTTGCATGTCCAACCCACAAATCATGCAGTACCCTTAAGGAAATGACAAGCACTGCAGATTTAGCACAGCCTTGCAGCTATTGGACTAGATTTTTTTTCTTATTTTGAGGAATTGAATTCCAGCTCCATGATGCATGCTGTAGCTGAGGTTCCTGCCAGGTTCCTGACGTTTGTGGCACAACACAGTAAACTCCATGATAAGCACCAGTGTACCAGTCTCACCTTATCAACATCACGAGGTGAAGGCTGCAAACAGACTGAACAAGGCAGGTAATCTGGGAACTGTAGGAACAAAAAGAAAAAGAACCCAGAGCAACATTATGCAGATTTCTGTGATATTTTAATTAACTTAATGATCACAAAGGGTACAAGGTAGCCCTGAAGACAACAGGTCACTTCCATACAGCAACCCTTTGAAGTTCCAACTCAGAGAGAAGCTGGATCTTATGCTCACCATACATGAACAAAGCCTTTTAGGAAGAAAGGGACTTTAGAATGCTAACAACAGAAAAATGCAACAGTGCAAACACAGACAAAAAGTAAGAAGAGACCCAGAAAAGAAGAGACCCATAGAGCTTCTGGGCTTATAATCAAACACTAGAGCACCGGAGACACACATCAGGAGCTGGGATATCTGGCTCCCACCCAGGATTACCAGCATGGCTCATAGTAGTGCAGATCACTGTTCACATGGGCTTGAAGGTTGAGCAAGGCATCTGTTCTGGAAGCACAGCTAAGGCTATCAAACCAGCCAGCCTCCAGGCAGTGACCATTTGCTCCTGGTCTGCACAGGGCCAGCAGCTTCTCCAACTGGAAAGGCTGCAGAGCATCCTGGAGATGGAGCACTAGCACTCCATCAGCGAATCCAGCAGCTGGGATCACTGGATTGTACCTGAGACGTCAGTAACACCCAGCAGGCACCCACCCACTGAGCAGAACCTGTAATGACTGACGAGAAGAAGGTCTTAAGAGATACTCACTGTAAAGAAAAAGGGGTAAGCATTTTTCCCCAGCTTCTTTAGCAGAGATTCCTGCAAGTGGGAGAGAGACTCTGGCTTGTTTTCAGGTGGGTACACCTGGACCCTAGAGAAGAACAGGTCTCTCCGGAAGGTGAGGCCGATCACATCAATGTCCTCCTGGCCATACCGGAAAGCACAGGTCAGAGTCACATACACTGGAAGGAAACACAGGCAGGTAAGGCATGCAACAGACTGACACAGCCAGGTGATGTAAAATCCTGCACCGGTCATGGAAACTCGTCTCAACACTTGTATAACCCAGTCGGTATTCATATTTTAAGTCTTTATGCACATTACTTTGAGTAAGAAGTCCTTTCATTGAGGAGTTACATTGGTAGCCCTGAAGCAATGTAAAAAATAATTCTATCTCAGTATCTCACTTGAAAAGAGGATGAGCAAACTAAAAGCTGCATTGCATAAAACCTCAAACCTTTTTTCCCCTTGATCACTGTAGGATCCACCAATACAACACCATCTGAAAGAAAGGAAAATTAAAAAGATTACCAGAGGATAATCAAGCTTAGGAGAGCAGAAAGGGCAGCTTGTACACTTGTGGACTTACCTACAGGTTCCACACTCCCTATATTGTCAATGAAGTCACGCTTTCCCAGGTAGATGGTCAGCTGTAGGGAAAAGATGACCACAGTTGTATTACAAAGTGTTGTGTGCTTGCGGGTGGGAGAATACAGTCTGGAGCTGCAAATTCCATAGAGAATGGAGCAATTCCATTTTCAGCATGTTTTTTTTTTTTTCTCCTCACCAAACAATTCACACAGGCTCTAAGAAGTCTCCACATCAGAAGAGAGGACCTGACGTGGAACAGCTCCAAGAAGTAAAACACAAATACTCACAGATGGGACAGAGCTACAGATTCAAATATTTCTGATGGTATCAGATTTGCTATCAAACAGTGAATCGGCTTTGTTGCAGTCATTTACCAGCACGGCTACAACCTGGACGAATGAGAGGGGAGTTGCCTTTTATGCAAGACTGCAACAAGCTCTCCCATATGAGCTTTGTTTACATTGTCTGCTCACACTTTGCACTAAATATGGATCGTGGTCCTTAAGAAACATGAAAGGGGACAGGAAAGAGGTTTGTATCAAGTCTTCATCTCAACTATGAGTGAAACTCATAGAATCATAAGGTTGGAAAGGACTTACAGGATCATCTAGTCCATCACACCTATCTATACCCATTATTATGGTACTTACGGCTTTGTCACGGGTGCTTTTCTTGAAGATAACTTGTTTTGGAGAGGAATCAGCATTCCTCCCTGTCTTCTGAGATTCGGGGCAGCTCATGACTGATGGGCAGGTAGGTAACTGTGGATGAATGAACCTTTTCTCCCTCAAAGGTTCCTGGGAGAAATGTCAGAGGTGAGGGGTGAAAAAGATAAAAGGGTGAGGTAAAAACATAGGTACAACAGTTGGGTAAAACATTCTACTCCTATGGTATAGTTTACCAATATGACTCTTCCAATGGATACTCAAGTTCAGTACAAAGGTGGGCTCCTTATAAAGAAAAAAAACCCAGAAACACACAACTATTTAAAAACAGCTCTTCAGAAACATTACAGAAAACAGAGGACTTGTTTTTCAGTCATTCAAAACATCATTTGGCCAGTAAAAAAAATCCAGAGGTGAAGGGATAGTTTGGCCTTTACAGAGAGATTTGTAGAGAGATTTTCTGTGGAGTACACGAGTAGAGATGAAGGTAATCTGATCAACACAGGTACTTCAGTTTTCAAAAGGTTCACCAAGATTTGTCACCAGAGGCTCTACATTGCCACGTGTCAAGAAGGCAGGTCAATCTCAGTCAATAACTAAATAAGGTATAAGAAATAAACAATACAATTTCTGGGAATTTTGGTTACTTTCAGGTTTGGGATTTATTTTTCACCATTGCAAGTATACACTAGAGCTCTTTCATCTGTCCTGGGACATCTGCCACTGAACGTAGGGTGAATGCAAAGAAGCCTAGATAAGGAGTGAAGAGGCTGCCCACAGGTAGAAAAACACCCTGGGATCATCAAAGAAAAAAGCTGTCTGTGCTAAGTTGGAGGAGTGCTTCACAAAGCAGAGTGGATAGGCGCTGAAACACCATGGCAGTAAGTGCAAAATATCACACATGAGGAAAACACAACCGCTGTCTGATACGCACAGTTACAGTTGCTACCACGTAGGAAGAAGGTCTTGATGTAAGCAGGGAATTTATGTTCTTGATTCATTTCCTTGTAACAGAGCATGTGATTGATGCTATTTCAGAAACCCTGATGCATCCACATCTTGGAGCCAGGATGCTTTTAGTTTAAGATCCAGAATAGTGATACTCAGCACAAGGTGCAATGGGCACAATTTGGAACACAGGAAGTTCCATAAGAATGTGAGAAAACTTCTTTACAGAAGAAGCTCTGGCACAGGCTGCCCAGAGAGATGGTGGAGATGCTCAAAACCCACCTGGATGCTTTCCTGTGCCAACTGTTTCAGCATGGAGTTGGGCAAGATGGTCTCCAGTCCAACCCCTGTGATTCTGTGAGTAATGAGTCAGACCCAACCCAAAATGAGATCTCAACTCTACCACTGTATTTTTCTAAATCAGAACTGAACCGTTACTTTCAGAGCATCAGTGAATTTGAAACATGAAGGACCTAAAGAATATAATGGTCCAACTACCTGGCCCAGAAAGACGTTAAATGTAGCCATAGGTGGGGAATAGCCTGGATCCAAAACACAGACAGATGAAGTAAGATTCTTTCAGAGAAGCAAAATATAAAGGCGTGGGGGAAGGGGCTACAAGGACCAAAAGGGCACAAGAGATGTCCAAAAAGAGATGTCCAGAAAGCGAGTGGTACAGAATGGAGAGATTATTTTTCACTCTGTCATAAGTAAAAAAAAGTGGCAGCATTGAATTAAGTGAATAAACAGCAAGTTCAAAATAAAATGTAGCATTTACTCATAAAAGGTACAGTAGAGAAGACTGCACATCACCATTTTAATAGATTTATGGGATTAGACACGTCCCCAGGGAAAAGGGCTTTGGCAGCTGTTGGGCAGATGATCCAGGTGCTGAGGAGCAGCAGCAGGAAAGCACGATGCTACGCATTCATACACGTCTCCTTTCTGGATGCTCAGTCAGAGTATATTTAGTCTGATTGTACGTTGCTGCTTCCAGCTTGTCTCCATTTTGTCTTTCTACTTGCTTTCCCATTTTAAAACCGTTTCGGGAGAAGAAAGTTCCTACAGCCTATTTGCACACACTAGACAGTAGAAAGAGGAAATCCTTTCCTTAGGAAACTTGAGAAAATTGTAAGGCAGAGGTTAAAGACAGACACACGGTTAAGAATTTCTATTTCATGAAATACAAGTAGGTTTTCCAAGACCAGAAGAGTAGCTGTGGTTGAGCAGTCACCTTATTCCCACTGCAGACCATAAGGAGAAACCGGCAAATAACGTTAAATACCTTGCTGTGTTCCGAAGGGCACGGGAGCCACCACAGGGCACAAGCATGAACTCCTAAGAAGCAGAAAGATGAATTTTCCGTGCAGTCACGTCCTGTGTGTCTTCCCATCAACCTGAGAATCACTGACCTCTTAGCAAGGAAGGAAGACAATTTGTAGAGGATTTTAAAGCGCGTCCCTGGTTGCGTCCATCCAGGATTTCAAGAATTAATCCCCCTCCAAGAGCAAATATTGCACCTGGGCTAAGATTCAACCGGAAAGCGGTTAAGTCAGCAAGAAAAGCATTACCTAAGGAAGACCAGGTCCTCAATGAACAGGTCTACAATGTCATCCTCACATGCTTTACAAAGGCAACAGACTTACACAGAACAGGATGGTTACTAAAGGAGCTTTATTCTAAAGCTCTTCTTCTCTCTTCTCCTTCCTAGGGTTTCAAGCATCCAGCCTGATAAGAAGCTAAACATAGAAGAGCTGTTTATGAAAAAGAGAGTTTACAAAGCAAGTCTCTACAGACAGATGCCATTATAAAGGACTGCCAGACATTCTGAGCAATGTATTAATCACAGTCACTGAGCTTTTTATGAGTTGTTTCTCCACCAATACCTCGCTGGCTTGCTCTTCAGAAGCAACACGTTGTTAGCTAGCACACCTCCCACCCTCAATGCACTTACAAAAAGAGTGAAGCACAACATTGAAGGAAACACTTCAACAGAGATTTAATCCATTTAGCTTTACTGTTTGTGACTGTCCCAAGAATAGCATTCTTCTCCCCACAACGTTGTAAATAACATCAAGACCAACAGTGTGTAACTTTTGCTTTGCAATCTGCGGAAGCAGCTGTAGCTTTCCTCTGGGCTGCATCTGTTAATTTAATTAGAAAGACCTCACCAGACCCTCTCCACTTACCAGCCCAAACTGCCTCCTCTGCAGGCAATCTCGTGCTCACAGGTCGGGTTTGCTTTTTGCACAGTCACTGGTGAATGAATACAGTTGCCCAGGCACACAGATAAATGAACGCAGAGCCAACGTTCCTCAGCTCTTTCCTAATTTCCAAAATTCCTGCAACACTTTATTAAATAGGATTTATCTGGGGAGTTTAATCGCTGTTCTGGAAAACTCAAACTCACCTGCCCTACAATGTGGAGAATTCACGTGTGCTCGAGGTGCTGTTTGGTGAAGGAAGGAAGAGGCTTCACAAATGAATCCACCTGTATTCAGTCTCACAGTGCAAAAAGAAAAGTGAGCTTTGTGAGGTGCTGCTGCTGCTGCTGGAGGATTACGAGCCCTCCAGGAGAGGAATGAGCATTCTTGTTACCTCCTCTGCTTCTCTGAAGGCCTGGCAGATGTGGGCACGCATCTCCTGAACAGCTTGGAGGCAGTTTCTCCACAGTTCACACTTTCAGTATGTGGAGAAATGGCCCCTTGTTACTCCCAGCCACAGGAAGGGCAGCTCCACCATCAGCACAGAAACAGCACGACAGCACCCTCGCACAGCAGCTACTTCTCATTTCTCTTCTTCCATCTACAGGTTGAACCATGAGTGGGCAACAGAATTAATTAAAAAAAAAAAAAACAACCTCAGGTAAAATAAAAAAGCTAAAATTGGCCATTGGAATTTCAGAGAAACCATGGTCCTAAGGAATTTCAATTTAAAATGATTAAGGTTTTAGCTAGCTAGCCATTATCACTGCTTCAGCGTTAATTTTTATTAACCTACTTTGTAACAGCACAAACAGGCAAAACAAAGCCCTTTGAGCAAGAATCTATGTGCATGATGTGGAAAATAGAAGTCTGATAGCCTAAGTTATAGAAGTCCTAAACCCATTCTGATCCCCCCCATCAGAGCCTGCGGAGTTATTATGTTAGCCTAATCTCCCAATAATCTTTCATTACGCTGACTTGCCATTCAGCAGTCTGTTTTTCTGCAGCAACCCAAGGTCACCTGGGATCTTGGTAGGGGCCTTTTGAGAAGCACCTGCAGCCACAGCAGCAGGCAAAAGGAGAAAACTCAGTCTCCAAAAAATGCCTCAAAATGCCAGTGTGGGTTTTCTCCTTTTTGCTGTGGTTCCCACGTCCAAGAGCTGGGCACAAAGCTTCTTGTCTCAGCAAAAAGAGGAGAGCAGTCAGTTAAGGTTCATGGTTGCATATTTAAATCTGTTCATTAACAAAAACAGCCGAAGGCTTTGTTTCATTACTCTGAAGTAGCAACCAGAGCTTTATTCAATAAGGGTTTTGTGTTTTTGGAAACGGGCATTTCCTATCACTGCCTTAAAAATCCAATAAGGTGCCACAGGATATAAAGCCTTCTGTTCTCAGCAGGGTCTGAAACACAGATGATGATTTCCTTAGTTCAGTAACGTATCGAAAACCTCCAACAACACACCCATCTGTCAAGGACAAGGGCACTTGTTTAACATGGTGAGACCTCCTTCATTCTCGGGCAGTGCTCCTGAGACAGGGCAAAGCAGGGCTGCATCTGCAGGTTGCCCAGCTTACTGCTAAGAGCAGCAGTTATCCTCCTTCCCCCTCTACACCAAATCCCACAGTGCAGCTGAACCCAAACCTACAATTCACCAAGAAAAACAAAACAAAGACGTTTCCAGTTCCCACTCTTGGCTCATTCAGAACAAAAATCTCACACACGAACACAGACATCAGTGAATCAGAGCAGCGTGGGGTTTTAAAAGCAGAACATGGGTTTATTTACAATCAAGTTCTTATGGGCAGCTGAATAAATAAAAAGTTTGCCCAGTATACTCTAGTTCCCTCTACAGAAGGTGCCTGAACAAAAGGCTGGGTTAGAGAGATGCCTCAGAGAGCAGCTGCCCCCCAGCCCAGCCCCTCCAAACAACACGCTTCCTTAGTAAAACACGATCAGGAAAGATGAAAATAAAGTGCAAATAAAAAGGCAATACAACGCTGGTGGCTTGTCTAGAGGCCCAGACCACGTGGAAAGGTTTGGCTGGATGCAATTGTACCACGTAGCTCACAGCCAGCCACACTGTGGTTTTTGGATGCGTAAACGGGGACAGGAAGATTCTGCTCCACAGCACAGAGCACACACAGGAGTATTGCACGTCTGCTGAAGAAGGGCCAGTGGCCTGGAACGGCCAGCACCAACAGAACGCATTTGGGATTGAACCCCACTGACCCTGTGTTCTACTGACAGCCTCCAGCAGAGGACGGATGAACCGAAAAGGGGACCAAGCATCTGTGTTCAGGAACTGAAGTCACAGAATGACTGCATTCCGCATCGCAGAAGCACAGAAGCTGAACTTCTCTCTCCTCAAACCCAGTAACCAAATTGCCTGTGGAGTAAAAAGATTAAAAATCTCTAATTTTGTGATACCCCGACCGTTGAAGGGCATTTTAACAAAAGGGTGCGGAAGTCCCAAAGAATGGACAATGTCCATTAAAAACTGACACGAGGAGTTTGCACGACAGCACTGGAGAACCTGTCAGGATCAGAGCAGCTCTGCATCGAGTTGGGAACTCAGCAGCAGAGCTGCCAGAACCATTGGAAATTCTCTACAAAAGCTTTTCCAGCACTTCAGGCTGCCCAGGACCCGTCCACATTCCGGGATCTTCTCACTCCACACCTAAACCAGGCCACAAGAACAGAACACAGGAGACAGGGCACGCATTAAGTCAGCATACACTGTAACTTCTTTCCAACATTTCCAACTCAGAAGTGCTGTAGATACATTTGTGTGATGGGGTATTTGGCACAGCTGCCTGGTGAGGAATCCCACGTATCTTCAGCTCCATTGGTGCATAGATACTGCATGTAAAGGCATGACTAAGTAGCATTCTCCATCCAGAACAGCTAATCCCTTGCTGAGTCCGAGTGCCACAGCGTGGTTACGGCCATAAGAAGTCTCTGACTCGGGTTCCTTCTCCATTGCTTTGGAACTCTCCTCCAGAAAGCGAAGCCCACGCACTTGTTAATATTCCCACTCAGGATGGATCTGGGCCGGGGTCTCCATTCTGTTCAGCCACGGACCGGCACCACCACACACAGAGGCACGGGAGCTCTGCCTCTCACCCTCCATCCAGTCAAAATTCAGACCACAGGACAGCCTTGTTTCCTTTGTCCACACTGACCACATGGGCACCCGCTGGGGACCACGCGACTGCATTGATAGAAGAACTGAAACAGAAGCCAGGGGTAAATTTAAAGGAAAAAAAAAAACTGAATTCCACTTCTCCACAACAGCACTTCATAAGAATGTGAAATAACACAGTATCCTGACTACGACAGAAGAGCACTTTCATTCTCACCTCCTAGGAGAGTCCTGCTTTTAATAAGCTTAGGAAGGTTATTGTTTCTTCAGAATACATGAAATATGTTTTACAAGAATCATACACCAGTAGTCTTTGGCCAATCTAGAAAACAATGCCACGCATCCACAAAGAACCTGCATATAAAAATTCTCACACACCAACCCAGCTCTATGACCACAAGTCTTTCTCATCCATATTCACAAGCCAGATCCTGCTTCAGATGGAACGGGCAGCTTTCCCTCACCTGTGATGCTTGGCAAGAGTTCTCTCCAACTTCCCAGTGAGTACATTCCAAACATAGAGGGCACCATCAGCTGAGCCAGCAGCCACATAGTTACCATCAGGACTACGAGATCAGAGAAGGAGTTGAAGGCACAGAACAAGTTTTCTTCACACCAGCAATTTATCAGCTCAACCATCATTCCAAATTCAGCTTCCTCAGCAAGCAACTTGATATCACATCATTTAAAAAAAAATCTCTGCTACCATTATTTAGCACTAACAAGCAAATGAATTCATAAATCAGGAAGCTTCCAAGACAGTTCATCAACATCTACAGGTGCACTGTCTTGACCAAGAGGTAACTGTGGACAAATCACAAACTCTGCCCCAAGTTTTTCCAGCTGTAAATGAAGCTGGTGCAGCCAAGCATCATGAATCACTCACTTCTGGGGATAGGATTCAATCAGACAATATCTTCCTTGTATCCAATCTCACCTGAACACAACTCTTGTCCAGTCAGAGCCACATTTGAATCCCTGGGCACTGAAAAGATAGAATCAGATAATTGAAACTTCATTTATAAAGAAGATTGATCTCCAGATTCTTAATGAACAGCACAGTGAAGGTTCTGGATGGCTCAGAATAAGCTCCAGTACCCCTTCATCACAATTCCTATTTTTCATACACCAATACTCCACACATCTGAAGCAGCTCCTTCCCTTAGGCCAAGCACTTTGAAAGCAATCCACCTCCTTTAGAGAAGCAAACAAAAAGATCTGCCATCACAGATTTTTGCTGTTAGACTGCAGAGAAACTTGCTATTCAAGTGAAAAAAAGTAGGTGACTTCTTTCTCCGTGGAGACGCTGAAAAAAGGCTAACACTGAGAGCTACCAGCAAGCCTGACTTCTGAAATTCATAGTGTTCTTGTGGGCACACTCACCTGAACGTCTGCTTGACAGCACCAACCCGCAGGTCAATGATCTTCAGCAGATCATCACGGGAACAGGTCAAAAGCTCTGTTCGCTCCGAGTTCAAGTCCAGAGCTGTGATCCTCCCAAGCAGCTCCAGTTCTTTTACTATGCTTTCAGTCCTAGGAAAAGATGGGGAGACAGTAGGGGAAAAAAGAAAAAAAAAAAGACTAAGTAAAGCAGGGTGTGGAAGCCAAACCACTGCATCCAAACTTGTACTTGTCCCAGTGTGAAAGAGGAGGAGACAAAGGATTCTGGGCTTATTCTCACATTTTGAGTCTTTCCCCAGCAAGATTCCACTTGGTGGAAAACGCAACCAGCTGACCAACAGTCAGACACTCCCTTACTCCCAACCCTATCCTCTGGAAAACTAAATAATGTCTAGAAAGCAAACTAATGACCAGTGCAAAATATTTACAGTGAAACAGGCTGCCTTCTCAGGAAAAAAAAAAAAAAAAGCAATCCAAAACCATATATAAAAACCCAAGCTCTCCCCTCCTCAACCAACAGCAGTAAAAGCAGTAATAAAAGGCACTTTCACTTTCATCAGCTCTCTGAGACTTGGAACAGTCTCTCCAGCTTCTCCACTAAGGAAGAGAAGCAGCCCAGAGTTCAGAATATACTTGGACAACAATTCTATAATCATCCCTACTGTGTGTAAGCCCTCCCACAAGTTTTACCTGATATCCCAGAAACGGATTTTCTTATCAAAATGTCCACTCATTACACACTGCTCAGTGCATACGATGTCATTGCAGCTAGATCCTGCAAACACTGTTTTTATACCTAAAAAAAGGATAAGTCAGTGGTGAGGCACTGAATTCCATACAAGCTGATGGAAAGGGAATCAGAAAATAATCACTATGCCATGCACACACCCTGAACATAGCAGCTGCACAGTGCTGGGCCCATGGAGTGCCACAGGGCAAACTGTCTTAGTGTAATCCCGAATTAAGTCTTTAACCTCCCTGCCCTTCTCAATCTCCTTTGCTAGATCTAATATCTCTTTAAATGTTCCTAGGACAGCTGCTTTACTTCCTATCTAGCCAGCTATAATTTGCCACTGCTAAACATGAAACTGCCAACACGACCTATGTTCTTGGCTCAGGTATCAAAGCAATCCTGATTTTTCTCTCAGTGCAAGAAGGCTTAAGAGCCATCAGTTGAAGAGCAGACCAATAAAAACGTCTATCCCAAAGAGGAACCAGAACCTGAGCATCTCCTTCATTCACGATGCTGAAATCTGGCACATTTCCAAGACAATTCCATCCACCTCCAGGTTAAAAACACTCTGAGCTGGCTCCACGCTTTTAGTGGAAGACAAAAATATCCACAGCGTGGACTGATAAACAAAGAAAGCTCATAGAACACAGCTGCTGTGAATGTAATAGCATTAACAAGTGCTTTCTGCATACACGATTTCTTATTTCAGGTAACAAACAGAAGGAATCTGATTACTTGAACAACAACAGAAGATAGCACCGCCGCCACTTTTTGAAACTAGCAAGAAGATCTGCCTTATGTAAGGCTCCCCTTTACACCCAGTAGGAGCACAGCACACGGATGAAAGAAGTGAAGCTTGCTTACAGACTTTGCTGCGGAGGTCCCAGAGCTTGAGGGTCCGGTCGTGGCTTCCTGACACAATGCGCGCGTTGTCCAGCAGGAACTTGGCAGACAGAACCTTACCGCTGTGACCCGTCAAAGTGTGCTGAGGAGAAGAGACTCGCGTTGGCAAAGCGCACAGCTCCACCTGATTCCTTTCCTTATAGCTTGCTGCTTCTATTCAACAACTTCACAACGAATCTTTAAAGATAACTTGCACCTTTACTGCCTTGCTCGAATTTCCTTTTCTTTGTTTCCACCCCCATCTGCGACGTTTAAACGGTGATCAACACCGCGTTGGAGTTTTCAGTACCACTGAGCTCAGCCTGAAGCCCTGACACATGGGTCACCTTTGGCTGCAGGGTCTCCAGCTACCAGGGAACCTGTGAGCTCTCCTACTGCAGCGTGCCCACACTTGAGGGGTAGATGGCAACTGCACCACAGCCTCGCAGGAGAAACCAGGAGAGGGAAAGCATGCTGAAAATGGTTTCCATAACAAGCTTCTCTCAAGGATACAGCAGGATATGCCTCACCTCAACTGCTGTTATACCCTCAAGTCTGAAAGCTGAGACAACCAAAGGTTTCAGAAACACTCCCTACTGCAGATTCCATAACTGCTTTTGTTTTCATCCAGCACAGAGGAAGGCTCAGGGGGGCTGAGGAATATGAACTGCATTCACTTCCAATTGCTGACTATGAGGTCCCTTCCAACCCCTACAATTCTGTGATTCTGTGTGATTTACGTGCCATATCACAAAACAAACAGTGAGTGACTGAAGCAAGAACTGGGGAGGGGAGAAAAAAGCCACAAGAGAAATGCCTGGTATACCTATTTTTTGGTTGTTGTTTTAAAAGCTCAGAGAGTATACCACAATTCCCTGCATTAGACCTGATTTCTGCACACTGACAACCACCCAGTGAATGACAATGTTATACTTGATGTGTGAAATGCCAGAAGATTCAAAACCTAAATAGCATCTTCCTAAAAAAAATTGATGAGAAGTGTCAACAGGAACAATAATAAACAAAACTTTACGGAGAGCTGATAAGAGACTATTTTTTCCCCACAGGTAAATCCTTCCTTAAACCTGAGATAAACTGTTGGATAAGAACCTGAGTACAGAGGAAGAAGGGAGGGATCTTTTGAAAGGTAGAGAATAACTTCACAAATCCTTCAGTTTGCTGCCTTTAGCTGCAAGGTCTAAGATTCCTTTTCAAGAATGTTACCTCTGACTTAAACAAACCCAGGAAAAACCACAAACCAACCCTCTGCTGCAAGCCCTTCTTCAGCTGTCCTCTCTTTAGATGGAGGCTGAAGCATTAAATTGATTCTTCAAGAACCATAAGAAACATTGAAGTTTCCACAGAGAGGGATGCAAAGTTGTGTATTACAAACATGTGGCAACTGGAGTTTCCTGTGAGGCTGCGCAGAGACCAATATTAGATTTTAGGTTTCGCTGCAGAGCCTCTTTAATCTAAGAGAAATAAACATCTGTATAATAAAAGGAATTGCTGAGTGTCTGTAAGTGCACAACAGCAAAAATCACACTGCCTCTGTAAGACACAAAGGTGGAAATGCAGGACAAAGCTATCCCAAGCATCAGCAGACTCACCCGTAATCGATTGTCATCAACCGTCCAGATTCTGCTGGCAAAGTCATTTGAAGCTGCTAAGAGGTAAGAACCCTGTAAACACAAGTTTAGTTTGAAACTATTTCTGCTAGTCAGTATGGAAATTAAGCTCATATCATTTCCAATTAGTGATGGAGCTGTTTTAGTGCTATCACGCCAAGGGAAAACACAAGGATAAAATAACTAGAACCTGGTAGCATATAACAGCATGGAAAGCCAGTGTGACAGCCTTCAGAAAGGCCACGGCCTTTTCTTCTCAGCAAAAGGTGACAGCAATTGGTGCAACCATGACTAGAGATAAGAGGAATAACAGTGACCAGACAGCAAAGTACCTCCTTTCTTCCCCTTCTGCCCACCATTACTGCAGCGAGGATGTGAACTCGTTTGCCCCCACCTTTTCCTTTCACCTACACTTTGCACATGAAGAAAGCCCTGCATCATCTACCTTAAGCATTCCTCAAAGTGGAATTGGCCCAATTCTTGAAGTTTTCGTTATACTTGTAATGCTTCAAGATTCCAAGAGCTAAATGTGCTCAAGGACAGGTAGATGGGTTTGTTCATGACTGTAGGCTTAGTGCTTTTCCAAGTCACCCACAACAGGAGAGATCTATCCTTAAAGACCTGCTCAAAGACTCCCCTGAAGCTAAAGAAGAATCCTTAAGGCCCACTGGCATCTCACCCCAGGCAGATGTCACCTCAAGCGTGTTCATCTTGACACACATAACCTCACAACTAGTTTATCCTGCAGATTAACAACCCCTGCAAATCTCATCAGCTGGTTGACGTCCAAAAGGACGACGGCTTTGGGTGTGTGTCAGGAAAGTTCAGCATGCAGAACCAGCGGGTGGAAAAAATTACTTCAGCTTCGGTCTTACTCTGCAGCAAAACAGTGGGTTATGGAGGAGGTCTCAGCAGAAAAGTCAGATCACACGTCCAGATACAACAAGCCGAAACCTCAACTCCTTTGAGCAGCTCTGTGGGATGCTGATCACAGTCATGTCTCCAGTACTCCAGGTTAACATGAACTGAACACATCACATGCTGTCAGCAAGCACTCCCACAGTCACACTACACTGCTGTGCCATGACTGGGGAGGAACTGCTGGGAGAAGAGGCCATAGAAGAGCAAGTCTCGGGACAATCAGACCTTTTACTATTCATCACAGACCTCAACAAAGCACTCGTGAAAATAAAAGCTTGGCAGAAATAAAGCCCCAGTGTATTTTCTTCCTTTGTGCTGCTGTGTCAGCCTTAGTGGGAAGCTGAAGATTAATGTCTCATATTAGACAAAGCCTGATGCATTTTAGTCTTATTATAACAGCCCCATACTGGCCAATGTCTGAGCTGCTTATCATCTGAACTGCAAAGTCAAGATGAGAATTACACCGACTGCAGCTTCTGTACTATTTTTCAACTATTTGCAGTTACTCTCCTAAGCATTAACTCCTATCTTAGGTAACTTCTCAAAGCATCAGAATGGAAAGTGGCAGCAGAGCATAACATACATCAATTAGCTTATTTCCAATTACAAACAGTGGATATTGCACAGATACTCACAGCACTATCAAACTCTATGCTTGTAATCCCAGCATTACTACCAGAGAGGGAACCTTTGGGCTCACACCTATCTGCACAGAGAAAGACGAACAAAACTTAAGCCATGGATTAGAACAGAAGCTGACACAAAGTGAACTATAATATGAGTTTCTTTCATACCCCACGTTATCCCAAAGCAAAAACATTTACCTCCCAAGACTTCCCAGAGCTTAACCCTGCGGTCCATGCCTCCTGTTGCCAGTAACCGGGAGCCAGGGCTGAACTGCACCGCGTTCACCTCCCCGTCATGTGCATCCTGGGGGAGCAGAAGAAACAGAACAGCTACCCAAACTGCACAGATCTGAGAGCACTGACTAGAAAGCGACAGAGCTTCAAGGGTTACACCACAGCTGCAGCTTTTTCGGCAGTGTATAGGAGGCTGAATGCCTGCTGTGGCTGTCTGTGCACAAACAGAGCAAAAAATGCTGATCCCTATCTAAAAAACCCAAAGGCACATGAAGGAGAACACCAGCAAGGACTCACCAGGGACAGTACATTACCAAGAACTTGTCAAAGCTTACACAGACTGAACTTACAAAGCAGAGGCTTTTAAGTTATACCAGAATAAAATAAGGAAAGGACAGAAAACATTAAGAGGTGACACGCTGCAGAAGAAAATCAACCTTTTATTTCTCTGTCTAGAGCCAACAGAGGAACATAATCCAACCAGCTTATGCAACCACTAAACACACGAGTCAGGTTTGGCCTTGGAAAGCCTGCTTAAAAGCAGCATAACAAATAAAGTGCGTTCACTTACAGTATCAGTGATAATGCTGCTTCATACTGGCAGTTAAGTACTAAAGGCACAGCTGCAGCTTGGAACAGCCCTCCTCTCACTGAAAGCTTGGGTTTATGCCATAGTTCCTATCAGCAGGCCCAGCGACACCTCTGCTTTTGCACAGAGTAATACTTGAAGGTTGAGCTGCCTGCTTACCTGTGATTCTTAGCCTTTAGAAACCTATGAGGATTTTAGCATTAAGATATCTCTTTTTCCCGTCAATTTTACAGACTTGCACTACTTGCCCATTATTTCCCACACTAAGGAGTATCATGTCCTTAACTCATTTGCTGCCTTCTTTTCCTCTCCCCTGCAACCCACCCAAGAATTTTCACTAAGTGCTCCCTTGAAATCAATTTTCAGGAAGATGTTTTTCTGCTAGAACTTGCTGTTGGTCTGTCAGCTCATACTTAGAGGTCATCACACTTCAAGTCTGGTCTTCTTGGAAGTGCTGAAGAAACACTCTAAATGAAGCTAGCCAAAATCTTTGCCCAGCAGCTACATCCCACTGTGCTGGCTAACACAAGAACCTTCTGCTCCCATCCAAGCTTTTTCTATTCAGCTCTACAAAAAGAGGCACGGATCGCTGTTTGGAGTAACAACCTCCCAGCATCTGCCAAACTTCTGGCACGGAGTCCTTGCATTTGTTTTAGGAATGCTCTGCACTGCTCCACTGAATCTAGACATGCGTGAGGCTCCAAACACAGGAGCTGAAATACAACACAGATCATCTCCAGAAGGCCCATAAAAGCTCCCACGCAAGAAGCAGGGAGTTCTTTCTTCCAGTACTGCACTGCTAACTAAGCAGCACCTCTCAGCCACTGTGACAGGCTTGCTACTGCAACTGTTCCTACTGCAGCAAGGTGGGAACTGGAATAGGAGAGCATTCCCTGTGTTTATGCAATTAAGGGTCAGCATAACTTACTCTGGTTTGTCCCCTGTGTGGGACTGACTGGCTATGCCACTCTAGGAAGTTCAGATGACATCAGAGGCAATTCATAGAAAGGTGAAACAGGTGGCTCTTAAGCATCTCAGTCATACGTAGCTTTGCAACGTCCTACATATTTAAGTGTTAATCATAAGTAATTTTGTCAATCAACTGGACTTGCTGTATACAGCCAGAGGTGGAGGGAGGCTTTTACCACATAGTGTAGCCACAAACACCTCCTGATAAGTGCCCTATTCAAGCCAGCTGCAGGCTGTCACTTAGGCTGTGATCTCATTCTCAGCTTCGGAAGCATAACTACTCCTCCTCCACCCCATGGCCTCCATTAGAGACAGTAACAGGGCATGCCAGGAACACACAAGCCTCCACACCATAGTAACTCTCTTCTTGTGGATGAAAACAATCATTTTGTATCCATGGAGAAAGCACTTGATGGACTGAGAAAGTTCAAGAGAAGCATCCAAACAAACAATTGCTCTGTGAAACAATTTACCACAGTATCTTTCATCTCAGAAGTTTAAGTTCAGCCTTGTGAGGCCACAGCAACACATAAAGGAGGTCTCAGCTTGAAAACTTTAGATCACGCACAGCCAATGAAGGCACACCACTGCCATGAGCTCCTCCCAACCAGCTCTGTTGGATGACGTTCGGCACCAAAACCCCCTTCACTGTGGGGAGCTGGCACTGAATTAATCCCAAACTGTCAGCAATCTCTTTCTCAGTCATAGCTCTACTATGGCATGACAGAACAAAGACTGCTGGGAGCCAAAAAGGTAATGGTGTGCAATTTCCCAGTGCCATCAGACCTTTTACTAAGTGTCATCATCGACCTCAGCAAAACAGACATCAAACACATGCAGAACAGAACCACACCTGGGAGCACGCTGGCTTTAAAAAGCACTTGGGCTAAATTAAATAGGATGAACCACGCTGCCAAGAATTTCTTCTTGTTTGGCAAAGTTAATGGCAGTGGTTTCAAGAGACCAGGATCCAAGATGCAGACAAGATTGGCTTCCTCCAAAGATACTACAAAGGATGGTAAAAATGGTAATTCCTTCCATACTTACAAAGACACAGATGGCAGTAGTGGGCACTCTCACTTCTTTACTGGCACCTGGATGTGGCTCTGCATTGTCCTGGGGAGCAGGGAACGAGGACAAAGAACGCCTCCTGATATGAAACACAGTAAAAAGATTTTACAAACAGGAAGGAATGCTTCCTCCTGAGTCCACCCAGATTTGTACATGTCACTTAACTACACTGAATAGTGATTAAACAACAGGGTTTTTATTTTCTTTTATCCTGTCTTTCAAAAATGACATTTATTGCACAGTACTACATCCCTTATGGCTTTTAATATCTCACAGAATGCCAGATATTTTACCAGATGTGATTACTGACCTCATTTTGAAGCAGTCATCTTTTTCTATTAGGAAATAAACATGGCAGTGATTGCAGCTGAGTTTAGCAGGAAAGACTGCAACTCCATCATTCTGTCTAGGGAGAATGAGCACCACTGCAGCTCTACATTCCAGGCAGCAAAACGCTCCATTCCAAAGCTCAAACAGCACCATTTAAGCAAAGACCATCCACCTCATGTAGGGCTCAACTTACAAAGGCTGGCTCTACTCCTGATACCAAGCACAAAGCCTAGAGGCTTACTTTAAAACAGCTCTAGTAAAGGAACTAAGCACAGTGGAAAGTAAGAGTAACACCCATGTATTCTCCCCACAAAGAGGAGTTCATGGTATCTCTAACAGCAGATAATTCCTATCCAGTAATACTGACAACTGACATCTAATCAGGATAATGCAACTTGGTTCCATGTTAACTCGGTGGAATACATTCACATGCTGGACTAAGAGGGATAATGTTTTCACCTGGCAGCATCGGAAGACTGATGTCCCAAAAGGGGAGATTCAGACAGACTGGAGGGAAAGGTCAGAGGTCAGCACACGGCAAGATGGAAGAAACAGGAAGTTGAGGAGAACAAAAAAAAGAAAAAAAAAAGGCAGAAGCTAGAAGAAAGGCTGAAAATATTTGTTTGCATTCCTTGCATCACCAAGATTTTTTGTATACATTGAAACCAATACAAAAAACAAAGAGGAGCAAGTGTTCTAACCTACCCAAAGATATTAGTGATAGAATCCAGAAGGCCTCCAGCTGGCTGGGAGAGTCGCTTACTGAAGGAGGGGAGGACAGGTATAAATCTTGTGAAGAGCTTCTCCAAATAAAGATCAACATAAATACAGTTCATAGCAGCAAGTATCTGGAAAGACTCCCTCCCCACAGACCCAGTCCCAAGGCAGAAAAGCCCAAAGGCAGGCAGCAGTACAAAAGTCACCAGAACTACAAATCAGAGCATCACTTGTGGGTGGTGTTTCTTCATTTTCGCCTCAATGTCCACCCCATGAATTACAGGGTTCAGACATAACAATTTACCAAGTCTGTAGTTCCAATAACGTGCTCTCATCATTATCTCTTACTTTCCACTCACTGCTACTTTAGAGGGAAAAAAAATGCATTCAATCTAGGTGAAGAGATTTTCAGTATTTCAATAGAATTCCAAAGCCTAGATGCTTGTAAAACCATGTTGGTGTCTTCTATAAATACAGAGAACACAGCTGGCACTGCAGTACTTACCTTATAGTCTATTTTTGTTTTTAAATCTTATTTTTCATCATTATAGATATTTAATATCTATAATAAAAAATAGTTTTGCTTGGTTAAAACAACAAAGGAAAAACATAGCCAGAACACAGTGATAGAGAACACAGTATGCAATCAGTTCCCCACTGCTCTGGTGCAAGCACAGAACTGCATTCCAGACAAAGAAGAGTGAAAACCAGAAGCAATATCTCAACACTGTTCCTTTAGTTGTTCTAAATCTATTATACCCCTTGTTCTTCCCCAGGAACATGGAAAGAAAGATGTCTCAGGCTACAAACCTGGGTGTTCGGCTGACAGCTCGCACTGGAGATGTCTCCTCAGCTGTGTCAGAGGTTTCATCTGCAAGCACTTCAATATCATCATCCCTGCTGAAGTGAGAGAACAGAACACACCTCATTTTCAGCCAGCAGCGCCTTTAGGAGTGACCACCTCTGAAGTATTTGAACAGAAGGGTTGATACTGCTCAAGGATCCACCGGTGCCTGACCCCAACCCCACTCAGCCTCACTGAGCTGCAGTGTCACAAAGGCAGCTGCAAGTAACACAAACACCATCTGGCTGCCCCTACCAGAGACAATACTATCAACTGTAGGAAAACAATTATGTGCAATGTCTACACTTAAATTTTCTCTTTTGAACTGCCAGTTATACTCTTCTGTGACAGTTTTTTCCTCCATGTTGATGTTGATAGCACCCTTTCCAGATTCTCTTTACTACAACGTTACGTTTCAGCTTGCAGCCCAACACACACTATAACGACCCACGAGGGTTTGAACTTTGTCTCTTCATGAATTTAATGAATTTTTTATACTGTTTGAACTTCAAGTGCTGCTCCAGTAAGCAGGAGGGATGTTTTGGCCCATTCTGTTATCTACATGCTAATGTGTAACTGAATATAATGGTGAGGTTACAATATAAATGCCATAAAAATAATCCAGCTAAGATGTTCAGCACGTGCTGAGCAGTTATCATGGGCTCTGACAGTCCAGCAGTCCTCCTTCAAAGCACTGCTGATCTTGCAGGACAAGCTGTTTTTAAACACAGTATCAACCTGATGACACATGACTAATCAGGGTACTAAAACCCAGCATTTAACTACAAACCAGTGTCTGCCATCTGACAAGACTATTCAGCTGCAAAAGAGCCAAAGAGGATAGGCTTTGTTTTGACTCCTCAGCAGCTCAAAACAAAGGAAACGCTGAGACCACCATCACCACCACAACAGGAAGTAAAGAGGCTGTTGAGCCACAACTACCTGTGCAATAGGAAGGTCTCACTTTGGGAAGTGGAATTAGCTTTGCAGGGAAAGCAGCCACAGGCATGTGCATTTCCTCTCTCCATACAACACTATTTACTGGAGAATGTAATGCTTAAGTTGTGCGTGTGTTTACATCAAATAATGTGTGGCACTGGCCACTGCTCTGGGACACAGAGGTTAGTGATAATTCAGAGAGACCCAAAGCTCAACAAGCTGAGGGAATGGCTGCATTTAAACATTTCTGGAAAAGCTGCAAACCAAACTGTGTGTCTTAGCTGTATTGCTGATTACAATTTTAAACCTCCCTCCAATTACTGCAAGTTCTCTCATATTCCCTACATACACGCTCTTCCTACCTCAGATTTCTGCCTGGGCCCTCTTCCATTACTTCTATCATGTGCAAGGACTCGCAGCACAGAGCTCTAGGGTGACTCCAATATGCTGCAAAGGGAATCAAGAAACCTGCACAATGCTCTGGCACTGAGTTCTGCAGACTGTGTCAGTTGTAACCAATGGCAGTGCACTGAGTGTAGACTGGCTAGATTTGACTAACCTAAATGCTAATAACCTCATCAACCTGGCACAAAACACACATCACCATCTGCACACTTCAGTCAGCTGATGACAGACCATCCAGGAATAAGCAGTGAATGGCAGTGAATATCTACGTGCTGCTGGCTGATGCAAAGGACAAGAGACTCAAGCTGATCATTTTTGGCCTGCCAGGAGAAGTCAGTCCACATTTTTCTGGATTGTTTTCTGCAGTAGAAATTTACTCCCATAACTTCTTAAATTAAGTGCTTACGGTTCAACAGGCAGGGGTTCTTTGGCAGCTTCTGCCAGCTCCTTTTGCAGCCTGGCTTGTCGCCTCCTAAGAAAAGAAAAACATGATTAATGAAAAACAACAACAACACAAAGCCTTCTTTAATCTTATTTCAATGATCATGTGCAGGTTTGATGGATTTCGTCATACTAAAAACACCACACCACTGGCACTCTTACAGCACACCTTCAGCTCACCAGCTTCTTGTGGCCCACAGGAATGCAGATTTGCTCAGAGCAAACACTTGCAAGAACTTAAAAAGATGTTAAGAAAGATAATACAAAACCACCACATACTATGTGGTTTGTCTTAAAGGCCTCAGCCTTCAAATATTGTCAGCTGAAAAGTAAACAGAGGCAACTCAGAAGAAAAATTATTTGTTCTTACACACAGTTTAGTCTCACAGCATCTTCTCCTGACAGCAGGATGTAAAGAAACATTTAAATTGGTTGTATAAAAAAAGATAAAACTGTCTGTATTATCAGAATGCAAGTTGAACAAATCTTCAGATCTAGTACTAACAAAAGGAGTGTTATTTATGACTGTTAGGCCACGGTTCACTGTTCAAGAATGAAAAACACATGTTTTGTTCATTTAAAAGACTGAAGTGTCTTCACAAAGCATTCCCCTGTGTTGGCCAGAGGAAGGAATGCAAACTTTTAGACTCTCATTGCGTTGTGCAAGAATTCACAGACCTCAAAGTTGAAATTGAATTGGATGTTGTTTTATTCTACACACACAGTTACCTATGAACATACTGGGAAGCAGTTTATCAAACAGAGATCATCTCACCTCGAATCCTTTTCATTTTCTGCATTCAAGCGATTGGCTTCCTGTGCTTTCTCTGCCATCCAACGTGAGACCAGCTCCTGGTTATCTTCAGTTGTTTTCCTCAGTTTCTCCTCCAAGGCATTGAAGGTGATCTGGAGAGCATCATATTCATCTTTCAGCGTCTGATTAGCTCGCTCAAGATCCTGCAGCTTGCTGCGTAGTTCCTGGCACTCTGTTTCCAGTTCAGAGATTTTTTGCAAATACTCTGCAATCCTGGAAGGACAACAAAACATAAAACAATGAGAATCTTTTCTCAAGTATGTACCTATTTATTTATTTGTTGCAATACAGAAAGGAATTCTTAGCCCATGGGTAAGGCTCCTGGAGACTATCATAACAAATAACCCAACCAGAAGTCTCCATCTCAAAACAATTACACAGAAGAAACTGTTCCTACTCACTTTGCTTCATTCATCTGCATCTCTTTGTCCTTCTGCTGCATTTGGTTATTCAGATCAATTACAGACTGGGCCAACTACAGAGAGGAGAAAATCACATTACAGAAACGCAGGGTTGTCAGCTGGACAACATATGCAGAGCAGCTCTCAGTGAGAGCACAGACCAATCTACAAGCATGAGGAGCATCTTTCATGTCTTCTTTCTGCTTTCTATACCTATTTGTTTGTTGCTTCTACAAATAAAGCTACTGATGGAGTCTTTGCAGAACACAAAAAATAAGAGGGGCAGAGGCCAACACTAATGAATTCTGTTATCAACTCCCAGCTACCCAGCCAACAAACCCCACAGGGCGCAGTGCCTCAGCTGCCCCTGGGAGGAAGACTGAGCCCTGAGAAGCTGGGCAGGTTGCTTAGGATACTGGGCTGAGTGGGAAGCAGGAATCTGTGGTGCTTTGTGTAGTCAATGCATGTTTCCTGCAGAAAGCTGCCTACTCTTTGAAAAGCTCATGATTACAGACATGGGAGCTCCTTTACAGTTCCAATGAAGTGTGGTCAAAGGAGCCAAACTTTCTCCAGGTCACTCCCATCTCCCTGTAAAAGGCTGCAGGAACTCTCAGGTGCTAGCTCCCAAACTTACTCTTTCCTCTGCTGCAATTCTCAACACCCAAATCTGTTGGCAGAGCCCTTGTGTTTTCCTATCCAAAGAAAAAATACCCCCAAAAAATGAAGAAAAAAAAAATAATAAAACAGCCCAACTCATTCCTTGTGGAACTCCCAAGCCGCCTACTGCATTTACGTAGAAGAAACAGTGATTCCTTCCTTTGCAGTCTAACACCAAAGTACTTCCAACCTCTGCTTGCACTTGTTTTGTCCACTCTTACCTAGCAGTGCTCCTGCAAAGCAAAAGAGCCAAGTGGAACCACCTACTGCCACCTATTCTCTCACTTTTTACTCACTGAAAATCTTTCCAGCATAGAACTGGTGCTCATTTGCAGCTCTAAGCTAGATCAGTTCCTTCCTCCTCTAATAACTACAGTTAAAAACGTTTGTGAAATGCAAAATTAAGCTCTTCTTAAAAACAGCACTATGCTGATAATGAATCCTCTTATTTCTCGGCTCTCAGTTTGAACGACCAACCATCTCCAAATTTTTTTAATCATGAATATGAATTGCTTAGAAAGACTGCATGTGAAATGATGAAAAAAGACAAATGATCTCAGTAAAATTAACACCACGTTCATGCAGGGCTACGTTTGAAGCACACAGAACACAAGAGGATTTTCCAACCTCTCCACGTTTCTTATGTAGCTCAGTCAGCTCCTCTTGATGCTTTATCTTCAGCTGTGCCAGTTCCTGCAACTGAGCATCATTCCATGTGCCATCGTGTCCTGGACTGGAATAAGACAGGAAGAAGGTTATAACCTAGAACCCAGCTGCTTTCACGCCTTTGACCAGTCAGTTTCAGGACACCATCTCCCTCTGATATTCTATACCACATGAGAGATGCAGTCCATTCATTGCAAACTAAACCACAGCTAACTCCACCACAACTCACTCCTCACCAGCATTATAGAGTATCAAAAAAACTGATTTCCTGAGGGTTTCATTTACTTTTTCTAAAACAGACTTAAAACCCAAATGAAAGACAGCATTTAAGAGATGTAGATCCACAAGCCAGGGAACCTGGATCTCTTCCCAGTCCTTTGGGTTTTCCATCCCAGGTTTAACAAGTCCCTTCTTCACTGTCCCAGCTACATTCTAGCCTGTGGCACAAAAGAGGTTTCTTTTAACTTCTGTTTGCACTTGCATATCCATCTTCCCACCTCCAAAACAGCTACAACTGTAATGCATATAGGATAGGAACGCAGATAGGAACAGAAGTTAGCTTTTTAAAAGCATATATATGTTATATATACACACACAGATTCCATGCAACTCAATTTGAAATTACAGCTTTTCCAAACAATAATTTCAAGTTGACTGCTATAATACCAGACAAAAAGAACAAGAAAATTGCAAGCATCTGTTTCTGCAGTCATTCTGTGTTAAAACAATGCCAAGGGGAAGACCACGTATTCACAAGCTGGAAGGTCTCACAGTGGTAACAATGAGAACAAACTGTGTGTCTGGACAGCTGAGAGGCCAAGTCTCTGGTAATACCCACCAGGCCCTACAATGCTGGCCACTCTTGCACCTGCAGCCAGATCTAATACTCCTCCTTGCCTTTACAGCTGATTAAAAGCATTCTTCCCCACCTATTTAGTACTAGAAAATTTGCTCAGTTTGAACAAACTGCTACATACCAAGGACAGTGTTATAATTCAGTTCAGTATTTACTTGGAATATGTTCTTTCTGAGCATTTCTTCTCATCCTCCTTTACTCCCAGTCTCATCTCTTGGAATAGATTTTCAACCAGAATGAAGGGATAAACCTATTTGGGTTTCACCAGATTCCAATAAACTAAAGATGGTTTAGGACAACTACAGCCATCAAAAAACTCTTGACAGCTTTCATATACGTGTTAACTCCAGGAGAATCGGTTCTTCCTTCCTTACAAAAACACAAACTACTTGTTTCTTATTCCAATTAGACACATGCATACAGTATTGAGTCACGTAGCAAGAAGAGTTTCAGCAGAGACTGCAATTCCTACAGCAGTAGGTAATTCTGAGCTAATGAGCAGCCCTTTCTTCAGTCAAGACAAGAGGAAAAGCCAGCAGTCCCTGCCTGCTGGCATTTATGTGCTCTCCAGACAATGGATACACTACCAGCAAATTGGTTTGCAGCGCATTCAGGCTCCAACAGAATAAATAGCACGAGTGCTGCCTGCAGCACTAGAGTGCCATTCCTGCATTAGAAGGGAGTTTCTGATAAAATCCTGCTAAAAGCAGGCAGATGATATAGCTCTTGTTTCTTAAGTGTAGGAAACACATTCAGATTGACACTTCACAACCATGTTTTGCTCCACTCTACCCAGGTATCTGCCCTGGTATCACTGAACCTCCAGTAAGACAGCTCCAAGTAAGACAGCTGTCCCCTTCTGCACTGCAATACTTTGCTGCCTTCATGCACCTTTCAGTTAATGGTTTTAAGAGTCAGACAACAATCATTAGGTAGTAACAGAACCAGCAGCTCAGCCTGGTCCACCTTCACAGGTGGAGCCTGTGACAAACTGCTTTCTGCCCAGAACTTGGACTGATCTTTCTTCATCAATTAACATAAACACATAGAATCACAGAATGGCCTGGGTTGCAAAGGAGCACAGTGCTCATCCAGTTCCAACCCCCTACTACGTGCAGGGTCACCAACCAGCAGCCCAGGCTGCCCAGAGCCACATCCAGCCTGGCCTCGAATGCCTGCAGGGATGGGGCATCCACAGCCTCCTTGGGCAACCTGTTCCAGTGCCTCACCACCCTCTGGCTGAAAAACTTCCTCCTCATATCCAACCTAAACCTCCCTGTCTCAGTTTAAGACCATTCCCCCTTGTCCTATCACCATCCACCCTCACAAACACCATCCCCCTTATTATTGTTTATACACTTCCTTCAAGTACTGGAAGGCCACAGCGACGTCTCCCCAGACCCTTCTCTTTCCCAAGCTAAACAATCCCTCAACCTTTCCTCATAGGAGAGATACTCCAGCCCTCTGATGTGGTGATAGTAAGTTTCTCATACTTCAAGTTTTATTTTAGTTAAACCAACTTCCCACTTTACTCAGCTGTAAGCTACTGTCATAACCTAGAAGACTCTTGTACAACACATCAATCCACGGTTTGGGTTAGAGCAGGCAGGGCAGACAGTTGAACAACAAAGTAATCACAAATACCTGATTTCATGTCTGCTCTGCATGTCATATTTCTCTGCTTGCAGCTTATCAGCCAGCACAGCGTGGAGATCCGACTTCTCTAGCAGCTTGTTATCTAAAAGAACAATAAAGAAAAATAATCAAAGAGCAATACCAGATTCTTTACCATCTAAAGAAGGTAAAACGTGCCATAATCCTGTAGGACAATGAGGTGTGCTGCTAGGGCAGTACTCAACTCCAACACCAGCCCCTGGTTGGTTCAGCAGCTGTGCTTGGCAGAGAGGCTGCCGTGGCTCACAGGTAACGATATCTGATAAACATAAGATGGCAGTGAAAGTCCAAACCCCTCACAGCTCTGATCCGACGGCAAAGAGAAGAGCCGGCAATCACTGCACACAACACATGGCTGTATTGTGCGGGAAGGTGCTGCGAGAAGCACCTACTTATTCTTTCAGATAAAACAATACAAAAAACTTAAGCTAAAAAAAACGAAACAACGCACGACCTTTCTCCGTTGGGAAACCCCCTCACAGCGCTCTCACGGAATTGAGATAAGCAAGCCCCCAACCCCGCGGTTTCCCACCGTCCCAGAACAACCCCAGGGCACAGAGCCCGCGGCAGCCGCTCACACTGCGCCACGATCTCCTCGAAGGCCTGCCGTTGCAGCCGGTCCCGCCGCCGCAGCTCCGCCGCGATGTGCCGCTTCCAGGGAGGGAAGCCGGCGGCGCGCAGCCCCGACGCCATCTCCGCGGCGGGAACGGACGTCTAGAGGAGCGGCGTCCGCTATGAGAGGCCCGGAGGATGGGCGGGCTCCCCGTGGAGCGGCAAGCGCCGGTTCTCAGCCCGCAGTGGGCCGAGAGCCCGCCTCTCACGGCCGAGTCTCCACTGGCCCCGTCCGCAGCCGCCGCCCCACGCCCTCCATGGCGCCGCGGCCGCGCTCCGTCAGGGGTCCTCGCGGCTCGACGGCGCACCGCAAACGCGACAGAGGCTGTCCGCGGCGCTGCCTGACGCCGCTCTGCAACCCGACGGCTTCCGGCTCCGCCGACCCACAGCACTGCCTCTTGACTCGCGGCGGGCAGCGCTACGAACGCAGTCGGCCGCCACGGGCGCGCGGGCGACACCCCGCTGAGGAGAGGGGGCCTCGCGCGGCGCCATTTTGCGCGCCCACCCATGAGGCGGGCCGCACGCTGCCGCCATCTTGAGAGCGGCGCGTGGTTACGGCATCCACCCCGCGCCGCCATTTTGGGAAGGGGCCTTCTGCAGAGGCGCATGCGCATCAGTCGGGGGTTGGGGGGGGTGTCTGTGTGAGGGGAGCGCAGCTCGGGCGTGTGCTGCGATGGCACGGAGCTGGGAGTTGATGTGAGGGCTCACACTGTGCCAGAGAAGGGACAGGTTGGATAATAGGAAACATTCCTTCTCAGAAAGAGGCACTGCACAGCTGCACAGGGAGGTGGGGCGGGCACCTGGAGGTGTTCAGAGCTATGGGGATGTGGCACTCGGGGATGTGAGCATGGTGGGGTGGGCTGGTGCCCGAGAATGGTGACCCCAAAAGCTGTACGGTGGGGTTTGGGGATGAAATTGCTTTGGGACACAGCAAAAACAACAAACAGCCTTTGCTGCAGCAGCACAGCCTGTTGACTCTGGCCAATGTGAAAACACACAGATCTTGCTTCGTAGCTTCGCTTTTAACTGGTTCATATCTCTGGTAACATGTTAGGCAACCCTGTTATTGTAACTTCATTTGAAGCCGGGCAGCCTTCATCAAGCTTTCTGTCATGCACGATGCTAAATTGCTTTGTTTTTCTTTTTAAATAAATGAATGAAGGTGAAACTATTAAATTGTAACAAAATCAAATGGATGATTCACCAGGTTGTTACACCAGAGGAGAGAGCAGTGCTGGCTGAGTCAATAATAGCTCATGCACAGCTCTGTCCTACTGAGAACGTGGTGCAGAAAGTTGTGTGTGTTCTCTGCACAGCCAAGTGTGAGCACACGGCCTATTTTTCCCTCTGTTTATACATTTATAAATGATAAAATCAAATTAGATGTTGTAAAATTGCTTGTAATTGCATGCTTCAGTCTTTGTGCCGCTGATGGAATTACTGGACTCCTGACAGGCGGTGCTGAGAAATTCATCCATTCCTATCTTCCATCCATTTTAATCCTCTGCAGAGAAAGAGGAAACCAAGCATGAAAAGTTGAGAAGAGAGAAGACAAAAATACAGAACAGGGATCAGACTCAGTTACTCCCTTCTCGAGGCTTTTACTTTGGCCTTAATATATAATCAGCCCCGAAGTCTTTTCGCATTACCTTTGAATTGCCAGCCACCTGCTTTCGTTCAGCCTCCCCAGCAAAAGTCCTTCAGCTCATCTCTCAGCGTTGTCTCTTCTCACTGAAACTGTGAGAGAAAGTAATTGCCCACTATTTCTTTCAGCAACGCACAATAGGGAAAAGAATTGGTGTGAGCAGAAATGGCATCCAAAAATGAAAAGCCCTCAAGCATTACATAAGTTATTGGAAACACTGTATAGGCGTCAAGTAGTGGCGAGACTGCTGTAAGGGAAGGATTTAAATAGGCATCTGCCTCTGTCTGAATCTTGGAAAAATCACAACATGCAATCTGTAATCTATGATTACAGAATCACTGTGGGCAAAACATCCTGATTTTTACAATAGCTGCTAGCACCACTTTTCCCACTTCAATACAAAGTTCCTTTCTTCTTAAATTCAGCCTAGGCCTCTGGAAAATCTTTCCAGTAACAACACGTCTCTGCTCCTTGTCATCCTAATATTGCTGCCCTTCTCTGTCAGCAAGGGTTGCAGGAACACACAGGATAAAACAGCTGCTTCAGGCTGGAAGTGACTCCACCACAGCCAATTTGTTCTAACATCTAATTCACATATAAAAATTTAAGAAAATTAACAAATCTCATGTTTTCAAAAAACTCATTCTGTGTTCAAAAGTAAAAATAATACCTGCAAGGACGTTTGTTGTATCCTGTATTCATATGGGCTGAAACTTTGTGTGCCATGCAAAGCATTCTGTGGGATTGGTACTTCAACATCCAGGCAAAGGAGAAAAAATCCTCTTCAACAGACACAAAATAGATGGATGGAGAGACAGGGAGGGCATTTCAGATGTTAAAGGCTGTGAAGGAAGAGATGCTCACATGGGACACGCGTACCTAAATGTAGCCTAATGCTGCGTTGTATCATCCAGAAAGTGGCACTACAAATGAAAGCATTACGCTGCGCTCTGTGTGTAGGAAGAATTTCACTTGCAGTCTTTGCGCTTGGCCCTTTGTGTAAGTGCAGCACCCCTGGAAGATACTGTCTATTTTGGGAGAGTTTCTGAACCCATTTCTGTTTCTGATGGCAATCTGCTGACATGCACACAGGAGTTTTGCATGGAGGTATTGCAGACTGAGGACTGCAAGGATGAGAGCAGCTTTCTAGTCCAAAACTCTCTTGGCAACCAGGGTGCTGTTCAAAAGCAATAAATGCAAAGTACTGCACCTCAGGCAGAAGGAATTCAGCAGACAGAGGCAGAGAGATCTGTAGGAAAATATCTGAGGTTTGTATTGGTTTACCAGCCCAACAAAAGTCAGACGAGGCACGCTATCATGAAAAAGACAAACCTTGTGACAAAGAGATAAGCAGGACCATCATCAGCACGAGACATGAAATGATCCCTCCACTTTGATCAGCAAAAGCAAGGTTTCTGGCGATTTGTCCAGCTTTAGCCATCGCATTTCAGGAATGATGTGAAAAATCTAGGGTGACCAAAATACGACCCAGAGGAAAGATATAAACAGTTGGGATCACTTACTCTGAAGAGAAGGCTGATGGGAAACATGAGAGTAGAGTGCAAATATGAGGTGTCAGAAAATGAAGACAAGTGATCTGCTTGTTCAGGGGAGTCAGGGCTAGACTGAAAGGTCTTAAAATCCACCACAAATGCACATCAGAGATTGGGAAAGACTAGAGAAGCTCAGGAAACAGACTGCCTGAGGAACATGGGAAGCTCTCGTGCTGGAGCTACGTCAGGCCAGTTAAACATTCCTCTATGAGAATTTTGTAGGCTACTCTTTGCTGGTATGGTGAACAGTCGTCGTGACCTCCCAGTGCCCTTTGCAGCCTAAATTGGCAGGGGTTCTGTGCTGAGACATCGTGTTGTGATTTCTGACACTCAGAGACCAAAACAGATCTTTGCACAGTGGTGAGTTAAATTGCTTCTGACCGAAGGCTTTCGAATAGTTGTGAGGTCAGACTGAAGCTTGCTGCTCTGATTCTGCTGCTTCCTTTACCACTTTGTGGCTTAAAATTTAAAACTTCTGGGAGAAGATGCTGATCACCAGTGCCCTTACCAAGCACTGAGTTAGGTTGGGAGATTTTAGAATTAGGTTGTTCTGGATCTTCAAGTTGACGTTTGTAAAGAGGGAATATATCCCACACTTGGTTGCTTTATTTATGCTTACAAGCTATGGTGGTGAAGATGCAAATGGCTGCAGAGCACAGAGCAGGCGTAATTTCTGTGCTGATGCTTCATCCTTCCTGTTGCAAAGGTCTATTGTTTCTTTTCCATTTTCCTAGCTGTGTCTTTTCTTCTTCCCTCCTCTGGGCCAAACCGTTTCTGTTGGATACTGCTCTCAGGCACCCCCTTCTCCTGAGTTCTCTCTCATTCCACAGATTCCCTCCTTGCCTTCCTGCAAACCTTGCTGCTGCAGCCTGTCTCTTTCTTCAGCTTCCATTCATTCATTTCTTCCAGAGACCAACATTTATTGCCGTGTTGCCATCTCTATCTCACTTAGTTATTATATAATATGATGTTTTATGATGTGCAAGATTAATTTAGTCTGCACATAATGCAGTCCAGACCTTGACAAACAATGCATTAAAGTGTTAATCATATTGTGTAGCTGATCACCGTCAGCAGTATCATTTAAATACAATCACAGAAGCACAGAATAGCTGAGGCTATTCTCCCAGCAGGTCTGCATGGCATCTCCTGCAGTACAGGAGATCTGAGAGTACAGGTTTGATTGTGGTTCTCTGAATGCTGCTGCAGAGTGTCAGTTAGTTTTCATTTAAAAGGATACGTCGAAGCCCTTCTGCACGTTTGCAGTGACCAAATCTCTTTGGGCAAAGCTTTATTTTATTCATTGTTAGAGGCCAAAATCAAATAAAGCAGAATTGGGACAAAAATAAACCCTGGCTTCACACACATGACACTGTAAGCCAGCGGATGGTTCTGCAGAGCTGAATTAAGCCCCGCATGTCTAATGCACCCTTTGTTTAGTTGCCTTGGGAGCTAATACAGAGATGATCTGTAAATAATATTAATAAAGCAGAATCGTGGTAATGAACTGAGAACAGAGGCTCAGAGAAATTCGGGGATGCATAATGAGATCAAACGCTCCTCTGGTAACATTTTATCTCATTACGCATCACAAAAAGTGAAGCAAATTGCAGTGGGTAAAAAGAAATGTCTCATCCATCAACCTGGGATCTGGCCATGAAAGAATTTGTGAAAGACTTCAGAAGTCTTGATCCAAATGCAATCCTAAAATACTTCTTGCCAAGAGCCGCGTTTGAAACCACAGCATGCGCACTGCGGAGCTAGGAAGATCTTTTTCATATTCATGCGAATAATAATCTGAGGTTTGCTTATATATATAGAAAGAACATCGCGTACCTCCACAGTTAACACCTCTTCTACAGTGGGGAAACGCGGCGTGTTGGAAGGACTGTTGGCAT